TCAGTTCGATTGCCTTGCCGCTCACTTTCAGCATTATTTTTTGGCTTGGCTTGGCTTGACCTCTCTCTAGCATTGAATCTTTTTGATTTTCCTTTATTTCCTTTATTTTCTTGATTCTTTTTATTTAGTGGGACTGGGAGTTGGGAAAGTGTGGGTTGGGTGGGTGTGCTGGCACGGCTGTTCCAGGAGATTTGATTCTTTTTCTTGCACTGTTAGTTTGTTTGAATTCATCTGGGCCATGCATTTTGCAATTGGGTAGCTTTCCCCAGGTTGCAATCATAGGGCCAAGAACCTATCAATCATCATTAGAGCCTTGAGATCCACCCCTTTCCCCAGGTTTGGAGGGAAAGGGGGACTTTTAGTTCAGTCTCACAGCTTGGAGCCTAACAGACAAGATGTGTGGCCTTCTTCTCCAACCTGCAAAAAGGCTTCATTTCTCACAGCTTTGCTGGGGACTAAAGTTACAGTTCCACAGCTTTGCTGGGGAAAAAAGAAATACAGCCAGCTTTGCTGGAAAATACAGCCAGCTTTGCTAGGCAAAAGGAGTGGTTCCACAACCTTCTTGGAAAATCTAAAGGACACCAGCTTGGCAGATCTACAGAAAACCTTATCTGGTAAGGGACACTCGGGCTATCCATAAAGCAGATTGGAGCCAGGAGTAGGGGCCTCACGCCAGTTAGGTAAAGGAAGATTGCCCAGGAGGGGTCAGAAGGTTTCCCCAAGAAAGAAAGGAACAGTTTATCAAGCAGTTGCCTGTCCCTTGTTGGCATATCGAGAAAGCTACTAGTTTTTCAAGATTATAAAGCATTTAATTCATTTGTTCAGAGATTTAAGCCCTAATAAAGAACTTTGTTGAACTTTTTTTGAGCCTCTACAGAACTTTGTGTTGGTAAACCTAAGGGACCCTTTAGCTGAGGCACCCCAGCATCCTGTTGGGCATACAGAAAGCGCGTCCTGTAAACAGACACTATCATAGGCCCAGCACGCGATAGCACAGTGGGCACACTCCTTTGGGGACTTGCTCTGAACTGCCAAAACTTAAAATAATATGCTCAAAAAACACCCAAACATGGCTAGATTTTCCACAATACATTTAGAAAATGTTTTCCTCCCCGTGGATTATACAGGAGTACCCCCAAACTGTGAACCTGTGTTTTCGGGGGGAGTGTGACTCCATCTAACTCAAGCTGAACCCCATTCGAACGCAAGCATTAGTGTGCCAGCTGCAGCATGTAGGTTTGTCACACAAGATTGGATACTTTTTATGCAGCAAAGATGCTGATTAGTAGTCCCTCTCAGATCACAGCAGTAGCCACACTGCATAGGGATGAGGAGCCCCCAGTGGCGCAATGGGTTAAACCCTAGTGCTGGTAGGATTGAAGACCGACAAGTCGCAGGTTCGAATCCCGGGAGAGCGTGGATGAGCTCCCTCTTTCAGCTCCAGCTCCCCATGTGGGGACATCAGAGAAGCCTCTCACAAGGATGGTAAAACGTCAAAACATTTGGGCGTCCCCTGGGCAACGTCCTTGCAGACGGCCAATTCTCTCACACCAGAAGCAACTTGCAGTTTCTCAAGTCACTCCTGACACGAAAAAAAAAGATAGGGATGACAAGGTCAACTGAATCTCTCTGCAAAGGGGAGGCCAGTCTTAAGCATGTGTTTTTAAAGGGATTTAATCCTTTTCCCTTTGTTTTCGTTCTTTTTGCAGTTTTCCTTGTTCTCTCTGGTAGCCATGTGTGACTAAAGATCTGAGGATCCCCAGTTTGATACTAGCTTGATGCACATAGTTTACTTAGACTTTTAACTGGAGAAACTACAAGTTTCTTCTGATGTGAGAGAATTGGTTGTCTGCAACTTTTCTCAGGGGAAACCCGGATTTTTTTTAATGTTTTACCATCCTTGTGGGAGGCTTCTCTCATGTCCCCGCATGGGGAGCTGGAGCTGACAGAGGGAGCTCATCCACGCTCTTCCCGGATTCGAACCTCCAACCTGTCTGTCTTCAGTCCTACCGGCACAAGGGTTTAACCTAGGGGTCCTCAAACTTTTTAAACAGTGGGCCAGGTCACAGCCCCTAAAAATGTTGGAGGGTCGGATTATAATTTTTTTTAAAAATGAATGAATTCCTATGCACACTGCAGATATCTTATTTGTAGTGTAAAAAAAAAACCCACTTAAAAACAATACAATAATTAAAACGAAGAACGATTTTAACAAATATAAACTTATTAGTACTTCAGTGGGAAGTGTGGGCCTCCTTTTGGCTGATGAGATAGGATTGTTGTTGTTGTCGTGCGCTTTCAAGTCATTTCAGACATGCAGGCCCTCAGGCCTCAGTTTGGGCATCCCTGGAGCCCATTGCACCACCAGGGGCTCTTGAAGACATGTAAGACTGACAGTGGGTTCATCATTGCTTACAACAGTAACAGCAGACCTTTGATATCTAGTATCCGAAGTCATCTGAATGTTAAATCAGCACATGCAAAGCAAATGGAGAAGCCTTATCATCATGTGGGTTATTTGTGACAGCTGCGTTGCTAATATTGACAAAGAACCCCTTTATGGTGCTCTGTATTGTTTTCTCTAAGCAGTGATGCATTTGATTCGGAGAGGGAAGAAAATAAACTGGCATTGGTTTTAAACTGAAAAATGCAAGAAAACTTTGAGGGTGAATGTTATGTGCTTTCCCTGCTTAGCCTCGACATGCAGTTGAATGCATAGTGCAAAATTATGTGCCAATTTGAAGATGTTTGTGATTCTACTAAACTCAACACGAACATAAAAGTGTGCATAGTAAAAAGGTAAAGGTTTCCCATTGTCTCTGGAGGTTGGTGCTCATCTCTATTTCTGAGCTGAAGAGCCGGTATTGTCCATAGATTCCTCCAAGGTCATGTGGCTGGCATGATTGCATGGAGCGCCATTACCTTCCCGCAGAATCGTTACCTATTGATCTACTCACATTTGCATGCTTTCAAACAGCTAGGTTGGCAGAAGCCGGGGCTAACAGTGGGAGCTCACCCCACTCCCCAGATTCAAACCACCAACCTTTCAGTCAACAAGTTCTGCAGCTCAGCGGTTTAACTCGCAGCACCACCGGAGGCTCCTACTCAGATATTTTTTAATTGCTTTATATATTTCCTTTTTCCCAGATGGAATCAAGGCAGTTTCCAAAAATAGTAGATTAAAATCAGTTTACAATACAATTTAAAAACAATTACAATCACTTTCATGAAAAATATTTTAAACAAATTTAAAATATGCAAGAATTTAAAAGATCAATAAAACAGCAGCCCTCCTGCTTATACATTAAATGCCAACTTAAAAAATGTTTCTGCCTGAAATAAGACCCACTGAATTCCTGTCAGAGAGGCTCATCTCATTAAGATACACAGAAAAGTAGGTCCATTGGGTTTCGTAGCACTTACTTGCAAACTAGGCAGAGACTTGCAGTCTAAAGCATATCCCTATGCTCACCAATGAATGTGCTGCAGAAAAAGAGATGCCTTTGCCAGTTGGTCTATTTAAAAATACATGGAGTTGGAACAAGAGTGATGGTGGTGGGGGGGTATATAAACCTGAAGGTCCAGATTAATTATTGGAGGTGGTGCCATGACTCGACAACAACAGTCCAGTTCTCAAACCACTGCATCAGACTGGTTTTCAATGCTTGTCTTGATTATCCTTAGTATATTTTTTATACTAGGAATAATAAAAACTAGTTTTAAATATTATTTGATTACGAGCTGTACCTGCCACCTGTTGCTGTGAACAACCTTTCCTCCTCTTTCTCTCCTTCTTTCTCTTCTTCCCTCCCTCCCTCTTTCCTTCCCTCCTTCCTTCCCTTTTTTTCTTTCGTTCTCTCCTTCCTTCACCTTCCTTTTTCTTTCTTTCCCTTCTTCCTTCTCTACCTATTCTTGAACTGCAACTCCCGGCAGTCTTCCTGATTGATCTACCTATCCACTATCTTTATGTAATCTATGTATCTTATCTATCTGGAGGATTGCTGGGAGATGCAGTCCAGGAATAGGAAATAGGAAATAAGTACAGATTGGGATGCTCTCAAAGAAATCCAAGGAGAAGCAAGCTTGCAACTTGGAGCAGTGCATTTGGAGCATCCTCCTCCTCCTAAAGGGCCTGGTCTAGGGAATGCTAGGAACTGTCATTTTCACGCATGCGCTGTATCATCATTAAGCTTTTTGGGTTTTTAAGTCCTTTCCACTGTTTTTTGGGAGGGGTTTATGAGTGATGGTTATCCGTTGGTCTGTTAGGGGTGTAGTGTCCAAACTTCATGTCAATTCGTCCAGTGATTTCTGAGTGCTGTTAATCCCACAAATGAATATTACATTTGTATTTATATAGATACCTAGTATGTTTTTGTTTAAAACCCCATTAACTCTGTCTACTTAACATAATGTCTAGTGATTTTTGACATCAGAGCTTGGAAGAATTACCTTTGGGGGGGGGGGGATCAATGTGTGAGAATGTCACCAACCAACATGGCCATATTGACTAGAGGATTATGGCATTTATAATCCAAAAAACAAACAAACCCCATAATGCTTCCAAGCTCTGATTAGGAGATCAGCCTGCTTGTCTATATAAATATTTAGGAGAGGTGTAAGATAAGATAACGAGAGATCATAAGTATAGACTTTGGAGTGAAGAAAGAAAAGAAAACAAAGATTCCATGGACTGGCCTTTCTATAAATCGAGGTCCATTGGAGAACTGGACCTTTCTATTGGGAAGATGAGGACCACATGGACTCTGTATTGTTCACATAAATCAGTTGGAAAAGCCACCTTTCCTCCAGGAATTCTTAGAAATTCAGTGCTAAACTTTTAAGCAACCAGGTGAAGTGAAGGGGCAACAGGGATGGGGAAATCTAAAAAAACAGAAGCCATTCCTTGGGATTTAGCATTTCAGGCCAATTAGCATGATCAAAAGCTGGGCTGCCAGGAATTCAGACTCGTGATAGTCATGAGCGCTTGCTTGTCCACAAGGGAAAAGTGAAAAAAGTTAGCAAAACAGAATGGGAAGGGGGAGGGAATCTTGTGATACTTTTAGCTCTCAGCCATAGTCTGGATCTGTGTAAGTAGGTAAGTCATAAATTCCTTGCTCTTGATTTCTGCAGTAAATTAAGGTTTTGCTTTGCTAGTGTTTCCTTGACTCTAAAAGGTGCATTTAATGAAAAAATGCATTTCTATTCCTGTGTTGCTTTTAAATTTTTGATACTGAATGTGTGTGTGTTATTCATACCAGAAGTTGCAGTTGTGATGCTTAGCGGAAATTGAAGATCGTGACTGCACAAAGGCTATTCAAATCTCATTGCATTTAATCAGATTTAAGCCATGTAACGGCGGTTAAGATTGCAGCCAATATGTTTATCCCTGCGTTTCTGAGATTGCAGTCACAGAAATCAGATTAAACCATTCAATTTGATTTGATATGGACAGTTAATTTTCTTTGGCTATTTAAACAAATGACAAACATATTAGAAAGTATTGATTGTGGGATTAGAAACAAAAATACGACAATTGCAGGGAAGGAAGAACTTAAAACCCAATAAAGTTTTTAAAATGTATGCCGTTACAGCATTTTTATTTTTTCTAGATCATAAATAATGAAGTTCTGTATTTGGGGACCATATTGTTTCCAGGCAGTTATTTAGAGACTGTAATTTTATTTTAATGTGTGTGAAATTTTGCTTTACAATGACAAAATGGGTAACTATTGCATGTATTTGATTCTAATATGCCATCAATTGTAAGATGCACACTAATTTTAGTAAATGGTTCGGGCCCCTCCTATCTCTGCTAACTCTGAACCAGCGCAGATATGCCAGGGAGTCCCTCCTCTTGCTCTCACCACCATCCCAAGCACGGTTGGTGGGGACGAGGGAGAGGGTCTTCTCGGTGGTGGCCCCCTGCCTTTGGAATGCCCTCCCCAGGGAGAAAAGACAAGCCTCATCACTATCTTCCTTCCAAAGGGATCTTAAAACCTGGTGGTTCCAGCAGTTCTTTGAAAATGATTAGCTCCAGACCCATCTCCGGCCATCAGATAGGACTCTGCTCTGCACTTTATCCACATCCCCAACCCTATGCTATTTCATTGCACTAGCCCTGAAAACCTGGTGGTTCCAGCAGTCCTTTGAAAATGATTAGCCCCAGGCTCTACCCTGACCATCAGCTAGGACCCTGCTCCACACTTTATCCACTTCCCGACCCTATGTGACTTTGTTGCACTAGCCTTCTCATAGCTGTCTAGGCCCACTTTGGAATTTTGGCCATTGGTAGTTCCAATCTTGCCCGATGGAATAATATTGGTACTGGCTTTTAATTTTTTTCATGTCAGGAGCGACTTGAGAAACTCCAAGTCGCTTCTGGTGTGGACAATTGGCCATCTGCAAGGACGTTGCCCAGAGGACACCCGGATGTTTTGATGTTTTGACCATCCTTGTGAGAGGCTTCTCTCATGTCCCCGCATGGGGAGCTGGACCTGACAGAAGGAGCTCATCCACGCTCTCCCTGGATTCGAACCACCGACCTGTCGGTCAGCAGTCCTGCCAGCACAAGTGTTTGACCCACTGCGCTTCCGGGTGCTCCAGCTTTTAAATGTGTGTGGTTATTTTAATAGTATATGTTTATGTTCTATAATTGTTATTTTATATGATTTTGTGTTGGCAATCGAATGCTTTGCTCTATGCTGGAAACCGCCCTGAGTCCCCTCGGGGAGACAGAGTGGTATACAACTAAAGATTTTTATTTATTTATTTACCGGCAACAGAAAAAAAGCTTTGTTTAAAAGACACAAAAGCACCCGCAGTTCTAAGGCGCACCCTCTTTTTTAGAGAAGCATGTATGGGGAAGATGTGTGAAGAAATACAGTAATTGCTTCTTGAAGACTGTTATTGTGCAACTATAATCTACTTGCCCAAACATGGCTTTTCCCAGGGGATCCATACACACACCCCACACACATGTGGACTATCTGTGTCATATTTCTACTACTGTTTAAACATCTGTAAAAGGGTGAAAGTGAGATCAGCTGCACAAGGTCCCCACTACCTGATCCTACCGCTGAATCTGCAACAGCACTGAAGGCAAAACTTGTGACATCTTCTGTACACTTAGGCTATAGACAAAGATTTCAGTTACAATGCCATGTGAACATTTCAATTATGTTTAGAAGTACAAATCTTGTTTCACTTGGGCCCCAAGTGGTGCAATGGGTTAAACCCTTCTGCCGGCAGGACTGCTGACCGATAGGTCTGCGGTTCCAATCCGGGGAGAGTGGGCTGAGCTCCATCTGTAAGCTCCAGCTTCCATGCAGGGGCATGAGAAAAGCCTCCTACAAGGATGGTAAAACATCAAACATCCAGGTATCTCCTGGGCAACATCCCTGCAGACAGCCAAATCTCTCACCAGAAACAACTTGCAGTTTTTCAAGTTGCCCCTGACATGAAAAAACAACAAAAAAAAAACTTGTGCCAGTATGCCAGTATAAACACAATGGAAATGCTACTGTGCTTAAAAACAAGGCATACACTCTACATACACTTTTTTAAGAAAGGGGAAAGTGTGGGAAATTACCAGATTCCATGTTAGGACAGCCATATAAAGCGCCTCCCAATTCCATCAGGGAGAGTTCCTTCGCTTTGCTATACTTCTTCAAATTAAGTAAAGGTAAAGGTTTTCCCCTGACATCAAGTCGAGTCATGTCTGACTCTGGGGGGTGCTGCTCATCACCATTTCTAAGTCCGTAGACACCTCCAAGGTCATGTGGCTGGCATGACAGCACGGATTTGAATGCAATATTCCTGCTTCTTGGCAGGGGGTTGGACTGGATGGCCCATGAGGTCTCTTACAACTCTTTGATTCTATGATTCTATGATTCTATGAGTGCTGTTACCTTCTCGCCGGAGCGGTACCTATTGATGTATGCACATTTGCATGTTTTCCAACTGCTAGGTTGGCAGAAGCTGGGGCTAATAGCAGAAGCTCACTCTGCTTCCCAGATTCGAACCTGCGACCTTTCGGTAAACAAGTTCAGAAGCTCTGTGTTTTAACTCACTGTGCCACCTGGGGCTCCTCTTCAAATTCGAATATTTAAGTTGCTTTACATAATATAAGCATACACATCTTGACCTTTAAAAGGTGTGTAGACCTTTGAAAAATGCGATTGAACTTTGCATTGAAATGTCATAGCCAATGGCTGTCTCTGCAGCTAGAATCCAGTTGCTGTCCAATGCTGATATATTCCAGTTACATAGAAGCTGTAGGCTATATTTCGGATGAAGGAACTGGCAAAAACAGCTCTTTGTATTCCTTGCCTAAGAGAACCCTATGAAAGTCATGGGATTGCCATAAGTTGACAGGTTCATACACATCATACACAAAAAGATTAATGTTTATTGTGCAAGAAAGCATTCAGTACTTCCTTGTGCGTGCCTTTTCCCAGGCACTTAAGGCCAATCCAGACAACCCCTGAGCATACAATTGCTCTTGTCTACAAGTGGACCAGAAGGGTGTACCTGGTTGCCCTTGCACATCACTAAACAAGGAACGGAAGACTGCTCCTTTACAACCTATTAATGGTTGTAGTCATTGACTGAGAATTATAGCATAGGGCCGTTGGCTGTGCTCCACTAAGATCTTGGGGTGTATTTACTCTGTAGAATGTATGTAGTTTGACATCACTTTAACTGCCATGGCTCAGTGCTATGGAATCATGGGAGATGTAGTTTAATAAGGCCTTTGGCTTTCTTTGCCAAAATGTATTGGTGCCTCACCAAACTACAAAGCCCATAATTCCATAGTGTTAGCCATGACAGTTAAAGGGGTGTCAAATTGCATTCACTCTACACTGCAGAGCCAACCTTTGTCTATGACACCTTATCATAATACAGTGTTCCCTCACTTATCGTGGGGGTTATGTTCCTGAACCACCCGCAATAAGTGGAAATCCCTACAGTGGACCTGGGCTTCCCTACAATAGTGCCCAAGGCGCCTCTGAGGAAGAGGAGGAAGAAGAGGCAGAGGAGGAGGGAGTTGCTGCTACTGTGCTGTCGCTGCCTGCTGCAAGTGCTTGGGGGTGCCTCCACAAACAGCTATAGTTCCCACTGAGCAGGAGACACCCATGTCCCTCCCTCCACTGACAATGCAGGTTATAATGAGCGCCATGAACATGTAGCCCGAACCCTGCCAGTGTCCTCCATAAACACCGTACTGCCCCCCACCCAAGTGAAGGCTTTCATGCGAGGACAATTTCATCCTAGATGTTCTGTTTTCCTTCCACATCCCAGGGTTCTTTTCTCTCTCCATTGCTGTGGAATTTGCATGACCCCACCCACTGCCTCTCCCTTAACTTTTTACTACCCTTTCCTATGGCAAATAACAAACAGTGGAATGGATCAGCAACTGAACAACAGTTTTGGGGAGAAATTCACCATGATTTACAGTAGTTGTACTTGGTCTACATCCAGAGAGCATTGTGAACCCAGTCAATGATGGAGCTGGACCAAACTTGCCATGGATGATGGGACTTGCCATGATGGGACTTGCCACGGATGATGGGACTTGCAGTACCTTCACTGATACTGATTGCCTGGGACCAAACTTGGCACAGAGAAGCCCCATGAACAACTGAACATACTGTAGGGATTTGGGGAAATGGACATTGATTTTGGGAGTTGTGGTTCACCTGCATCCAGAAAGCATTGAACCCAGCTGATGTCAGATCTGGACCAAACTTGGCACACAGTCCCAACATGGCCAACTGTGAATACTGTCAGGTTTGGGGGTGATTGCCTGGGAATCTGAGAATTGTAGTTCACCCTTATCCAGAGAGCACTGAACCCAGCCAACAATGGATCTGGACCAAACTTCAGTGATGTTACCTAACATCCCAAAACAAACAATGCCTTCTTCTAATAACCCAGGCACCACTGGGTTCCCAAACTAGTATTTCTATAAAATACACATATAAAAATACAGGAAACATAAACTAAAACACAATAAACATAGAATGTAAATTTAAAATCCATAGTTTAAAACTGCCTGGGTAGGCCTCCCAGAAGAGATAGGTCTTCCGTTGTGTTTTAAATTCCAACAGCTCATTTGGCTGCTGGATCTCTTCTGGCAGGCCATATACATACGAGGAGCTGCTGATAAATCTTTGGCTTTACCCAGAAAGAAACGGGATAGGAAGATGAAACTTCACATTTATTCCACATACTCTCCACCGATACCAACACACTTCTAACAATTTGGGGACCCTCTTTGCAGAGAGCTGCTTCGTGTTCATATGTTCATAGATAATGACACAAACATGTTCACGAGAAATCCCCTTGATGTCTGCTATTCCTTTAGCTGAAATTCGACAATTCTCTAGTATGAGGTTGTGCACAGCATGGACGATCTCTGGAACAACAACCACTCTCGGTCATCCAGGACGTTCCTCATCATTGGTGATGAAGTGGTCCATTTTAAATTTGGCAACCCAGTTCTTAACTATAGAATATGAAGGGCATTGATCCCCCAATGTCTGCGACAGATCACCATGAATATCCTTTGCGGACTTTCCTTACAGAAACAGGATTTTTATCACTCCTCTGCTCTCATTTGCCATAAATATAGCCTTAGACTCCGCCATTTTGTTTTCCCACATGCCTAGATCACTGTTGCCATAAGCTACAAACACAAAATGTTGCAAACATATATGAGACACACAAGAACACAAAGCCAAAGACTTATCAGCAGCCCCTTGTAGAATCATAGAATAACACAGTTGGAAGAGACTGTATGGGCCATCCAGTCCAACCCCCTGCCATGCAGGAAAAGCATAATCAAAGCACCCCCGGCAGATGATCATCTAGCCTCTGCTTAACAGCCTCCAGGGAAAGAGCTTCCACCACACTCTACAGCGGAGAGTTCCACTGTTGAACGGCTCTTACAGTCAGAAAGTTCTTTTTATTGTTCAGGTGGAATCTTCTTTCCTGCAATATGAGCTGATTGCTCTGAGTCCTAGTCAAATATTTAAATATTCATACATACATAGTTTTGGAAAACCAGTCATATGACAGAGACACAGAATCTTTGCTCTCCGGGTGTTTGGTTAGTAATTCCTATCAACCACATTTAGAATGGCCAATAGTAAAAGACTGGGGGGATTGTCTCAGAAATCTGAGAGGCCAAACATTCCCTAACCTTGCCCTACTGCATCTCTGTTATTTCAATAGCTACGTATAAGCAGTATAATCTCTCTGCTAAGCTTGTTTTTTTGTCTTGCATATGAAGAATATTATGGGATTGTATTGTATGGAATGGTTAATAACTTTGTTCACAGGTGTGACCTCTGCCAAACAAAATGCCCAGAGGAGATCATTATTTTGATGGCAGCTTTGGCCGAGGGAAGAAATTCACTTCACTTTCAACAGAAGAGTAAGCAGAGCATCAATTTGAATCTTTAAAACACCCTTCTGATTGTTTTCAAATATGATTTCCTTTCTCTTAATCTATGCTGAATTCTTCTTTAACAGCAAATTATAATTTTAATGGAAAACATCATTTCTTTAACAAATAGTCTAGTTACCAGAGGCAGAAATACCACAGAATCGTGGCTAGCTCCATGAAACCATAAGGTTTCCTCTGGCAAGTTTTGTGGATTATTAGGACCGCGGGTAAAAGGATCTGTGCCTGGTGAGCGCAAGCTAAACCATATGGGCAAAGAAACACTCACCAGGTTGAAGCCAAGCCACAGAGGTTTATTCAGTTTGGTCAAAAGGCATGGAAGTACAAGCAGATACCTCAAAGTGTGCAAGTATAAAACATACAGAGAAAGCAAGACATACAGAGAGCAAGATCTGTGCTCTAATTGGCTGAGAGCACTGCTGATGTTGCTGCCCCCAGGCAGGGATTCCCTTTCGTGGGGAAACGACAGGCAGGGATTTGCCAGCCGGGGAATCAATTAGCTGGTGGGATGTATTGTGGTTTGACAACACAAGGAATACTCTCAGAGGTTGATTTGTCAATGGGAGAAATGACAAGTGTACTGAGAAAGGTTGTTTGTACAGGAGGTCCTAAATGAATATCTGAAAAGCTGGATAAGCTAAAGCATGTATATTGGTTCTGCAGATATGGGAATTGTACTGTTTTGGTTAAACAGGAGACACCTTGTATTACGGCTTGTTATATCAAGTTTTCTATTTAAATTAAAAAAATCTTTATGTCTGTACTTTGAAGAGACGTAAACACCATAAGTGTGTTAGTGTATAGGTGATTTGAGTATTTTACTCTTATGCCCAGTCTAATGTTTACAAAGACTGAAGGCATCTCTAAAAAGACATGTTTTACATAATGATTTTCTATCATTTTTTTAACAGGGCTGCAGGTATTGGACTTCTTGTTGTGGTTCTTGCAGCTTTATTGCTCATTGGCTGTTGGTATTATAAAAAGCGCAGAGGTTATAGAAACCTTTTGGTAAGGATACATTGGCTTATTACTACCCTGGTTAGGATTGTATTTATTGCTATAGTTGGCCTGCTAGACTCACCAGTTTTGGACAGTGCTTAATTTCAAAGAAAACATGCGGACACTCAAGTCTTCTCATTACAATCTACCTTTTCAGATCCTGAAATCATTACTTACTTTAATCATTAATCACTGATGCATAAGAACACTTAGGACCTCATCCCACAAGGCAGGGGGGAGAGAGGCATCTTCTTTGCGTGGTGTTCTGTAGTGTTCCATCTTTAAAGAAAATGGAGAATTTGCTCACTCTCGTCACACGGGATCACTTCCTCCAATTTCGAGTTCAACCATCAATTTCATTTCCCTTCACATAGTCTCCCATTTCAAGGAGAGCAGCACACTTTTAAACCACTTCTCTCAATGGGACCCATACAGACTAAAAACCACTAATGGTGACAGAGGGAGCATTGAGGGACATTAGCAGACTGCCGACATGAACACCCACACACAATGGAGTGTAAACGGGCACATCCATCACTTCCTATTCCAAGGAAAATTTTCTGTTTATAAGCATTTCTATGTGCAGGGAGAGGTGTGAATTCCTGCTCACCTTTCAAATCCTCCCATTTTTACACTCTGCAGTGACAAAATTCCATGGGCAACCCACTGAAGTGTGTAGAAATGGAGAAAAACCTCAGTCTGATGAGGCCCTTGGTGATGAATAATCATTAATTATTCTGCCCCATTGAGTAAAAACATTCTGCTCAGTGGGGCTCCAATATGCCCTTATTGCATATATTCATGGGTTGAACCTTGATATGTGAAACAAGACACTAGAGCTGAGCCCTGGCAAATGTTAAACCTTTGGCGGAGTTATGCAAATATACATGACAATTTAAAAATGTTCTGCATGAATATAGTGGATAGTGTCACCAAAAAACCCGACTTACTAAGTAATAGAACCCATAATGGAATAATACATGAGTTCAACATGAGGGTTGCTGTTGCCTCCCATTCAGACATACACAAACCCGCTTAGCTTCAGCAGGGGGCATGTAGTACCATGTCAGAACAAGGAAATCCCCGCTCTCACAAATACAGTAGAGTCTCAATTATTGAACCTTCACTCCTCCAACGTTCTGTATTATTCAACGCAGTCTGCCTCTCGCCTGGATAAACAGCTGTTTCAATACATTGCAATGTTTTGGTGCTAAATTTGTAAATACAGTAATTACTACATAATGTTACCATGTATTGAACTTTTTCTGTTGATTTGTTGTGAAACATGATGTTTTGATACTTAATTTGTAAAATCATAATGTAATTTGACATTTAATAGACTTTTCCTTAATCCCTCCTTATTATCCAACATTTTCGCTTATCCAACATTCTGCTGGCCTGGCTATGTTGGATAAGCGAGACTCTACTGTATGCAATATGAAGAGGGCACCCCTATGAGCTTCTTACCTATTTATGAATAATAATGTCGGATAGAGTGCATAAAAGAAATGGAAGGAACATTCTGGCCAGTGGAGTTTTGAAACTGGTATTAGAGACAGAGATAAGCAATAAACACAGATGCAAGCTGTTGTTTGCTATCAAGTCAACATCTCCTGGTGGTGCAATGGGTTAAACCCTTGTGCTGGCAGGGCTGAAGACCGACAGGTTGTAGGTTTTAATCTGGGGAGAGCGTGGATGAGCTCCCTCTATCAGCTCCAGGTTCCCATGCGGGGACATGAGAGAAGCCTCACACAAGGATGGTAAAACATCAAACATCAGGGCATCCCCTGGGCAACGTCCTTGCAGATGGCCAATTCTCTCACACCAGAAGCAACTTGCAGTTTTTCAAGTTGCTCCTGACATGGAAAAAAACCCATCAATCTTTGGCAACACTTTGAATGAGAAGCCTCCAAGAACCTCAGTCATTAACTGTCCTTCTCAGATCTTGAAGACATAGGGCTAGAGTGATTGAATCAATACATCAATAGTGTGGCCTGACCACTTTACTGGGCATGATTGTATTTTCTCTGGATGTAAGACATGTGCAAAACCAATTCATTTTGTCCCCATTTTTTTCTGGTCTCCTTTTCCTTTTTCTTCCCTTCTGTTCATTCTGCCTGTGCTACAGAGTAAGAACTTCAGAATGACCACTATGAAGACATCAGATGGTAAAAGTGCCTTGCTGGGCTCCAAGCTAAGTCTGCAGGAATACAACAGCAACTTTACCCAAGCGGTAAGAGGACTTTTTCTCCTGATATCTAGTCAAGCTGTTTCTGATGGCCAGAGAGTGCAATTCTTCTAAAACTAGATGTTGTTAGAGAGGTATTCTTAGAAAGTGTAGCTAAATAAACTCTTCTTAAAACGTTTGTACTGGAGGACAGATGATCGGTCTTTGTATGCCCTCCCAGAAAATACATTATGTCAAAAATTCAAGGATATTGTGAAGGTGTGTGCTTAAATTTCATGAGAACCTAGTGAGCATTTTGATTGATATGAGACTTCAAAGTTTAATTGTAAAATCAATCATTTCAGTAAGGGTGGGTAGTAGATCTTGTTTCAGTCCGCCAGACAAACTGTTCTAGTAGATCTTTCTCCCTGAAAGAGAAATTGTTGTTGCTAAAATGTGTGACCAGGAGGTAACTTTGTACATTTTTAGGAAGTGGAGTTGCTACATCTATGTACATTTGTGTAGGTGTGTTGCTGCATGTTGCTATCTATATTGTTTTTACAGAACCCACTGCTGCATCTGTTGTGGACAATGTGCTATTTTCATATTTGTGTGCCTTACATTCCAGTATATATTGAGTCTGATGTTACACATCTGCAGGTTTTATTTTTGTGGATTTGATTCTAATGTTCTTTCTAAGAATCTCTCAATTCTCCAGTGCAACTCTATGGTCAACTTCCTCCAGAAGCTGACTATAGAGTCAAGCTGGAAGACCTAGAAATATCTAGAGACATGTTCTTTTGGGTAATGGAATTTTTCACTTTTAAGGAGTCCTGTACCCGTAACCCCAGTGAGTGTGGAAGGCTGGCTATACATCAGTCATCCACACATTGGGCTTGTGCAGATTCGGAATGTTTGGTTCCCTTCGGCCAACCCAGTTTGTTTGGATAGCCATAATGGCACGGGCCCAGCCATCACATTTTCCCACGTAACAGCTGATCATGGCTCCCCCTCCCCTCTTTGGCATCATGAGGCACACAGAGGCTGCTGCATGCTGATCTCAATGGGTTTCCCTGTGAGCCCTGCCTGTTGGGTCAATCAGAATCGAAGAACATCATGGCGTGTCTTATGCAAGCTGTGTCTGCTTCCTTAACCCCGTTGTTGGAATCCAGGATCCCTCAAAGGGAAAAAAGGCAAGGGTGTCCCAGGAATGAAATGGGGAGCCTCATAAGTTCCCCATTGCTGCCAATGGGCTGGATCTAGCCGCATTTTTCGGCTGTGGAACAAAAATGGCTACCCAGCTACCCACCTGTTTTCGGGAGGCATGCAAAAATGGATTCATGGGTCTATCAGAAACAGGCAAGCAGAAATGGATCGAGGTTCAGCCAAAATGCACAAGTGTACCACACATCTTTAAAAAAACTTTATGCTAAGTTTTAAATGAAAAAACTTGGTTCCTTCTCTTTCTTAGTTGTGATATGTAATACCGAAGGAAATTAACAAATTAACAATGTAACCAGGTATTACATTGAGATTCAGACGCATGCAAATGGAAGCAGGGCTACCTGTCCCTTCCTACCTGCAGCAGTCTCTTGAACATGTTTCCTGACAAGATTTTGTCCTCTTATGCAAAAATTTGGTCCCACTGATGTCATTAGTTACAATAATCTGTGTGATTAATCTAGAATTGATCAAATTTATTTACATGTAAGTCTGCTCTTCGGCAAACATATTTATCTAATATCAAATACAGTATCAGTTTTAAGATTAAAATATAAGGGAGTTCTTAACTATTTTTTCAAAAGACCATGAAAGTGACAGGAAACCTTTAAGAAAAAATACTAATGGAAGTAATTAAAGTTTGTTAATATTTCTCATATGATTCTTATCACCCAACTTTTGTTAATGTAGGTGCCTGATGCTCCACCAGCTTATGAAAAGATCTCTACCAACCCATTGCCACCGCCTTATGCGCCATGAAACTAGAACAAAGCTATTCACTACCTGTTTAATTGCATACATTGCCATTAATTTCTAGCAGTACCTGAAATGCATGTAATTATTACTAGTTTAAAAAAAAAAACCCAGTTGTTCCCTATTGCATGTGGTCCTTAAGACATCGATGACACACCCTTTGCATCTTTGCTGTATTCTTTGTATGGAATTATTTAACCTAAGTTTAATGGAAATTATATACAAGGAAAACTACCAAGCATAATAAATATTGAAGAACAAGAACAAGTGTTTCTGAAATCTATGATGCTTTAAAGTAACGGTATTGCATGAATTTTACTGTTCTTTTGGTTACTTTACTAAAACACACAGTGCCATTTTCTTCATGTTCCAAGGCTTATCTGCCATTTGAGAGTTTCATAAAGAAAAGCTGGGTTGATGAAATGAAGTGTCTTATTCTTTTCACATCACACTCATGAATGATTTAGAACAACACAAGCTCGACATAGTCTTAGAATACAACTGAAACTAAATGATCACCCAAAAACTAAACAAGTTAAGTAGAAACTATAATTAGCATTGTAGAAACTCCAGGTTTTCATGTTGTGTATTAGACTGAAATGACAAAATAGGTTTTGAATTTTGCCAGAAGGAGCCTAAAGCAAGCACAAAACGCAACACAGTGGGAAGTATCACCAGAGCCTAATGCTCTTATGAAGTCAATCTTCTCTCTCTTTCTTTTTCAGGATTTATAGGTGACCTGATTCTGTTTGGTGTCTGATGCCACCACTTCTGGTATGGCTTTGACTTAACAGGGTCTTTGAAAAAAGATAGCATAAATAGATTCCATACACACAAATATAACTCAGTTATTAAATTTAGAATACAGTAGACCCAGTTAACTGGCATACCATAAATTCCATATTTGCCAGGTATTGCTAATGAAATAAAGTAATTAAAATCCAATAAAGACAAACCTAATGGAACATTTCTGCTAACATTTCCTTTGATTTCAATTTTAATTTAAAGTATTTTTTGTCAGTTGCTTGAGAGTTCCAGTTGCTTGAGTTTCAGTTAACTGAGAGCCTACAGTATTTCAATTTGGTTTTCTCCCCTGACAATTATACTAATTGCAACTAGTGCACAGAAGAAAGTTGGAAATAAACTAAACTTTTGAAAAATGCTATCAAACATGAGAATTAGGTAAAGGTAAAGGTTTTCCCCTGACATTAAGTCCAGTCATGTTCGACTCTGGGGGGTTGGTGTCATCTCCATTTCTAAGCCGAAGAGCCAGCATTGTTCATAGACACCTCCAAGGTCATGTGGCCTGCATGACTGCATGGAGCGCTGTTAACATGAGAATTACTGTTGGGTTATATTTTTGAATTGGCAATATTGTTTTTATTACTAGTGAATGATTCATAAGGAATCTTTGCATATTGCCTTTAAACATGCTTCCTGATTTTTAAAGAAATTATTTAAAAAATATATTTATGCCCCACGGAGACTGTATCAAGTAGATTGTGCCGGGCTTAGTACAGCAGGCTAAATCGCTGTGCTGCAGAAAAATCTTGCCGATCAGAAGATCAAGCCCAAGTCAGGATAGAGCACCCACCATTAATCCCAACTTCAAACTGATATAGAAGAAAGCGGTTCTGCTGTGCAGATGATTCCACAGGAAATCCTGGGACAATCTTAAGGCCTAAATGGTGATTACACAAACTACAGAGCACTAACATGCAACATGGGCTTTCTTTCATGTGCTTTTGTGAGATTTTGTCTCACCACTTGCATTAACTGGTCAGTGTACATGAGGCCCAAAATTGGAATACTGGTGGAAACCATGCCATCCTCCATTATGTTTTGATTTTCCACTGCTGGCTGTGCCGGTTACAGCTACTACAAGCTGCAGTTCTGCCACATCTGAAGGTCTGCACAATCCCAGCCCTAGATTAGAAGTTAACTTACATCATATAGTCCTCTTCTTCTCTCTCCAGGTTGCATTCATTTCGGCAGGTTGGAGAACTCCTACTATCTCTAGGCAGCTTAGCCAAAGGTGAAGAAAGATGGAAGTTGCAATTCAACAATATCTCTAGGACTAAGGTTGCCTCCTTCTGCTTTATTTCAAAAGCTTGGGGAGAAATGTAAATATAACTACAGTAAACTCTCAGTCTACCAATCCCCAAGGAGATTGGTAGATGCCAGACAAATGTAGTTTTTGATTGCTTGAAAGTTAGTATTAAAAATAGACCTAATATTATACCCCATACTATACCATATTATAAACTCTATATTGACTTGATGTTAAAACTGAAATACAGTAATTAAAAGCTTAATAAAGACAAACGTATCTTAATGTAACACTTTTACTGCATTGTAAAAATCAGCTTTTTATTTAAAATATTACTTCTTCAATAGTTTTACCAGTTACTTGATAATTCTGGTTGCTTGACTTTCAGTTAACTGAGAGTATATTGCATCTCTAAGTGCAAATAGCTGTGTCTTCAGAAATGTTTTGATCCGGTTAGTTTTTGAGGCTTCCCACTTTGCCTGAACCTGTCTCGAATCAGTGCAAATTAGTTTTAGATTCAGGATTAATCCAAATCCACACCACACCCCTAGTAGTCAAATTTAATAAGTCTTCAAAGCATAGCAATCACAACTACAATTACATAGTGCTTTTCTGAGAAAATGTAAAGCAGGAACAGCTAGGGAATAGTTGTAAACAGCAGTGAAAATGTGTTTCACAGTCAATGTTATGGATTTTCTAATGCAGTCTTATCCAAATACCAGGGATGGTCCCTGAATCATTGGCTGCTATGGTGAGTTTCCAGGCAAGAAAGAAACAACAGCAGCCAACAGACACAAATAGGGCAGTAGTCCTTGGCACTTTGGGGGAAAAATTCTCCCTTCCAGCAACTAACTTGGGATGAATTGTTTTAATAAACTTTTAATACCACCACAAACAGCAACCGTTATATAAAAAATAGAAAGTGACATGTTAATGGAATAGTGGTTACATCTTTCTTAATAGTTATAGGGGATATACAGATTTGTAAGTATATCGGAAGACATGAATACCTGGGAAAATATCAGTGACATACTGCTTATTTTCCCACCATTAAGATGCGGAACACATCATGTGACAAATCCAAGGCTGGAGTTAAAATTGCTGGACGAAACATTAACAACCTTAGGTATACAGATGATACCACTTTGATGGCCAAATGCGAGGAGCTGAGGAGACTTCTAACCAAGGTGAAAGAAGAAAGTGCAAAAGTTGGGTTACAGTTAAACATTTAAAAAACCAAGATGATGGCAACCAGACTGATTGATAACTGGGAAATAGAGAGAGAAAATATGGAGGCAGTGACAGATTCTGTATTTCTAGGCACGAAGATTAGTGCAGACAGACCGCAGCCAGGAAATCAGAAGACATTGACTTCATGGGAGGACAGCAGTGAGCAATCTTGATAAAATAGTTAAGAGTAGAGACATCACACTGGCAATGAAGATCCGCACAGTTAAAGCAATGGCATTCCCCGTAGTAACCTATGGATGTGAGAGTTGGACCATAAGGCTGAGCAAAGGAAGATAGATGCTTTTGAACTGTGGTGTTGGAGGAAAATTCTGAGTGCCTTGGACCACAAGATGATCAAACCAGTCCATACTCCTGGAAATAATGCCCTACTTCTCACTGGTAGGAAGTATATTAGAGGCAAAGATGAAGTACTTTGGCCACATAATGAGAAGGCAGGGAAGCTTGGAGACGACAATGATGCTGGGGGAAAAGGAAGGAAAAAGGAAGAGGAGCTGACCAAGGGCAAGATGGATGGATGGTATCCTTGAAGTGACTGGCTTGACTTTGAAGGAACTGGGGGTGGCCACGACTGACAGGGAGCTCTGGCGTGAGCTGGTCCATGACGTCAGGAAGCGTCGGAAGTGATTTCAACGAATACAGAACAAGCTACACTAATGTTCAACGTAAGGCAGGAGGTGCCACCCAATCTCCCAACTACTAGAGTTTAGAGCTAGTAAGGTTAATTCATGAAACTTCTGTTGACTTGGGTCCCTATTCATCTCTGAACAGGGGCTTCACATCTCAGTTCCCTTTCAGATGGGTTGATCACATTGTTTATATCACTATTCTGGGGACAAATCACTCTAACATCCTAAAATTCTCTAGAATTCTTTTATCTTTAATAATGCTTAACAACAGAAAACATTTATCAACAATCATCTACCATAACATGAATATGCTGCTGCACATTGTTTAGTATGGTATCTGAGATGCAAAAGCATCAGTTTTTTTAAGAAACCTGCTCAGGTCAGTTCAATTGAACCTCCTTTAGTTAAAATGTGCCAAATACAGTGTGAACAAATGTTTTTTTACAACTCTACCTTTCCTAAAGAGTTTTAAGACTTGGCTTCACTGACCTAAGTCCACTGCTACAAGAAATTCACATTTCAGATTAAAAGTTTATGAAAATCAAGGTTTTTGTGCTTGCTACTTTCCTCAGCATCTTCACATTCAGAAACTTAAATTCAGGCACATTGTTTTCTTCATGCTGGTGCTTTTGCTTATTCCTCCTCACACAGTGTAAGCATTCTTTGAGGATTCTGATTAATTTAAGAAGCATTTTGAGTTTTCAAATAGGGCCAACTATCTAATTCTCCCGCTCACATCAATTGTAGCTGACTTCATTCTGTTTGCTGTTCTTGCTAGAATGTTTTCAATTTTCAGTTTGGATCACACATCTTATTATCAAAGACAAACACTGCCAACCCTGACCTTTGAATGAATTCACTGATATTTTTACATCAATGCAAAGCTGTTCCATTATATATGATAAATTTCCTAATGAAAATTGTTCTCCTACCTAAAATGGTACAACATATTTAGTTCAGGCAGCTATAATTTTAGAAGTTGTGGGGAATAGTTTAAAGAACAGCTAGGCTGGAAAATTGTAACCGTAGGTTCATTTGCTTCACAGCAAACCCCACTAGTTTTTACTGAACTTGTCTCCCTAGTAAGTGTGCTTAGGCCCAGAATCTTTTTGGAGACCCCATTATCTTAAATTTATTAATGCACATAACCTTGGGCTATCAAGTCTCATGTCTTCACGGTGACACCGATATAGCATTATCAAGCAGATATACAGCAACTTTGTTTATTATTACATGCAGATTTTTCTGCATTATTGCTAAACAGTACACTTGTCCAAAATTACTAAAATACTTAAAAAACTATACATTATGTAAACAAAACATAAATAAGACAGAGTAGTTCTTTTTACACTTAGTTTAGTACATACTGGTAAGGAATCAGGGATATGTACAATTTTACAGAATAGACTGCTTTTTTTACAATGCATAAATATGCTTTTTCAAAAAAAAAAGGAAAACAACAAAAAATTAAATTTGTGAAAACCTGTACTGTTTATAAACAAGAAGGAATATGTCTAAACTGTGAGAAGCAACACATTCCTGTAAATGTGGTAACCAAAAATTGAAACACTGCTTTCTGCAATAAGTCTTAACAGATGGCCTGCTTGGCCACTTTCGTTACTAAAAAAACCCAACCTTCAAAAAGCACAGGTGTGAACAGTATTATAAGAAGTGTTTTCTTAACCATGTTTTTTTTTAAAGGGAAAACACAAAACAATTGCAATCTAAGATGAAGCCATTTTAAAATATCAACTACCGCCTTTTGCACAAAACCCCTTTGGGCATGTCGTAAATGCTCTGAAATTTGAGCAGTTAATGGCAACCTGGGCAAATAACACATATGACATGTGAAGGATCCTGACTCCATTCAACCCATGAATTCGGAGTAGCATGCAAAACAGTCCAATTCCCTTTCTGTCGGATTCCATCTATACAAAATTGCCATCACATGCTTTGGGTCCATGTACATGACCCCCATGTGTGGTATGTTTCAGAGTAAGAGCTTATTTTTTTTAAAAAGAGAAACAATTATAAATTAAGGATGTACACAAAAGAATGCCCCAACATGTTAACGGCTCATTTGCGTTAAGTTCAAGATGCAGCTGTGTCAGGTACACCTAAGGTAGAGTTCAAAAAGTTAGGGAAGACAGCAGCAGGACTTTTGCTTGTGGAAACTACGTCAGCAGAGAAAGATGGAGAGGTTTTTGAGGTTGAAGTTTTTATAGCATTCAAAATTGCCCCTTCTGGGCTCACCATAAGCTTTTTGATAGACGTATCTAGATGCAGCACCGGAGTATTGCCTTGTAGCTGTGAGCTACCAGTGTGAGTCACAGCAGCCAAAGATGTCTTAGCTACAGAAGTAGACGGGGTGGCTGTTGCCAAAGATGTAAACAACGTTGTTGGAAAAGATGGAGTGCTTGGCTTTGTAGCACTGTTCACGATTTGTGGTGTCGGGTGCACAACTGGAAGCGGATTGGTAGTCCCAAGAGAATTAACAATTTTGGTAAAGCTTTTCAAAGGCTGCTTGGGGGGCTGCCAACTTAGAGTATTACTAGACACTTGGGGAGTTCTCTGGGGAGCGGGGACAGCATGGGATACACCTTGAATCCCATGGCCATTATTAGGTGTTACGTGAGGCCCGAGTTTTGGATTTGTAGAGATGAGAAGAACATGGCTGCCAGCTCCAAGCCCTTGAGGTGGAACAATGAAGCGAGTGCCATTGATCATTATCTGAGTCCCAGGTGCCAAAGGTGTACACGTGTTAATAATTATTTTCTGTTGAATACATGATTCATTCAACTGCCCTCCCAGGTTATTACCTACAGGTGGTGAAACTGGAACAGTGTGGGTGGTGGAGGCACCAGGAGCACATGTGAAAACAGGAGCTGGCTTTACAAAATTAGGCAGCAGTTGACAAGGCAGGGGGACTACATTAGGAACACTAATGACTTTGCCTGTATTTGGTGCATTCGTGGGCAATGCCGTTTGAGGTTTTTGAGAACTTCCATTTATTGGCACTGTGGCTGGAACTCCTTGTGGCTGAAAGTGGACCAATGTAGGGGGCTGACCTTTTGAAAGGGGCAAACACTGTGCAGCTGACGGGACTCCTGGCAACTGGGAGACAGTGGGCATCATTTGAGGGGCGCCATTCGCAGCTGCAGGCAAAGCAACCGTACTTGGCAATTGAAAACTAGGTGTTAAATTTGGATGACACGCTGCTGGTTGAGTAGTTGAAATCAGAACAGATGAAGAAAGGTGTCCTGTTTTCACAGTCGATATCGCCATGGTATTTCCAACATTTGAGGGGCGCAATCGGGAGTTTACAATGGATGTCGTTTTTGTTGATGTATCTATTCCACCAGCCAAGATTGTAGGCCCTGCTCCAGTAGTAGGTCCACTCAATGCCAGAGAAGCAGGTTCTAAACACGTGTTTGTTGTTACTGTGGATGCAACTGCTGCTCTTGTGGTAGCAACTGGAGACTCTTTGACAGGCGTACCACTCTGACATGCCAAATCTGAATGTAAAGGAACCAAAGCACCACATGTTGGCAATGGCAAAATCATGCCCTGGCTACTTTTCTCTTCTGCATCTTTTGAAGCTGCAGGCTGCATGATATTAATTGGTGGTACACTCTGAACACTACCTGTGCTATTTATAATGGCCTGACCAATGTTAAGTCCTATTTTCACATCTTTTATCTGAGAAACAGTTGGCGATGCATTTACTTTTATTGAGGTCCCCATAGTAGATGGAATGAGGACTAACTGAGGCTGCTCTGCACTTTTAACATATGTTTTGCCTATGGAAGAAGGGAAGCTCTGTTTAAACGATTCTGGAGTTAAAGTGGTGTTTGACTGAATATTGCCAAGTGGAGCATTAATGAAAACCACTTTCTGTGCAGTTGTACCAGTGCATGTTGAAGCAGGGATCAGATTCACTCCTGCAGTTCCACAGGCAGGAAGAAGGGGAGGATTTGTGACCAACATAAGTTTCTGAATCTGAGCACCACTCACCACAGTTCCACTGTTTATGGGCAGAGACTCGGGCTGCGTAACTGGATATTTTGTACAATTTATACTAACTTGTTGATTCCTCAAAGGAAGCTGAGTATTGCATGTTTTATTCTGACCAATGTTTCCTGGAGAGACTGCATTAGCAGAGCTGTTTGGTGCTGCTGCTGGTGGCATTACAATTTTAGATGGTATGGGAGACAGGAAGGTAGGTGAGGATACATGTACGGTTTTTTGCGAACCATGACCCATGGTGCCACCACTGTTAAGAGGCTGCCCAAATGCAACTGCAATGTTTTTCCCCATTTCCTGATTTATACCAGCAGGAAGAGATGTATTGGAAGCAGGAGTGGTTGGAGAAGATTGAATAAGTGCTGGGAAACTAGATATGGCTGTTGTTACAGCTGAAGAGTTTGACAACTGTGTTGATTTTGGCACTAAAAATGCCTGAAGCTGAGATGCGTATGTGAAAACAGAATTTGGGGCTAAGTTATTTGGGGAAATCTGGTCTGAATTTGTCTGTACCTTAACAATCCCAGTGTTCCCACCTCGCGTAGTAACTAGGATTGACTGTGAATCCCTGATACAGATTGTTTTCAGTTCTTGTTTAGCTTCACCAACATCAGCACTTTTTTGTGGAGATGCTAATCTTGGCGAGGAACTGCTGGTGCAAGCAGAAACACTTTGCGGTAGTGTGGTTGTCAGAGTCTGAACGGCTGAGGAAACAGTGGGTGAAGCAACAGGAGATGAGGCAGCTGAAACTACAGTCTTAGTTTTAGTAGCCTCACTTTGGCTCATTTTCACCAGTGAAGTTAATATATTCCCTGTGGGGGTTATAGAAGGCAATGCTGAAAATCTGTTGCCTGTACTACCCCCTTGTGTCAAATTTTTAAAGTTTGTGCTGGGCAAAAATGTGGCAGCAGCATTGTGAGATGAAGCTGGAAGCACAGGTGCTAAAGTAGTGTTGATAGTTGTTGGTTGGGTTAGAGAGATGCCGTGCTGTTCAGTAGCTTTTTGCTGCAAGGATGAGCTTTCTTTTCCTCCACTTTTACTGTCTCTGTGATGGATAAGGAAATTTTTGGGCAAAATGAGGACTTGCTGCATGATTTTCTCTCCTGTGGACTTCTCTCCTGCTTTACCATCAGCCACAGGCTGCACTTGAATCTTCACTGAATTGTTTTGCAGGTCTATTGGCACACATTGGCCATCGGGCATTTTATACAATACTTGTAAAGGATTCTTGGAATTGGTCTGGCAGGGCAACACTGGTTTGACTGGGGAGATACCTTTAGGTGTCATTATCAGTTTTTCAGAAGTAGAAACGCTTCTGCCTACAGTTGGTGGCAGCTGACTTGTTAAGGTCACTTTGTTCCCAATATTCTTAGCAAGCAAGGCCTGGATGGGTTTGGTCCCTTTTATCAAGTTTGGTGTTGAGGCTGGAGAATCTGTTGTGTCCATTGAGTCTGAAAATGAGGATTCAATTTGCTTAGTCAAACAACCATCTACTGAGAGGTCATTTTCTATACTATGGACTGTAGCATCGCTTGTGCTTGATTTAAGCCGTTTCCTTGGTGAAAACTCAATTGTGCTGTCATCTAGGCAACTACTTTGCTTAGACTGACGTTTAACAGGTTTAGGCACTCTCTTCTGGATTTCTCTACAAGTCAGTTCTTTTCTTAGTGGTCTGGATTTTCCTGCAGCAAAATTCATTTCTGACAGTTTCATAACATCTAGAAGAAATATCAAAGAAGAAAGTGTTTTTTAAAAGCTAAACTCTTACTGGTTTACTACTGCTTCAAAATCAAAATTACTTTTGATGCAATTTAGAAGTTCTGATAGTACTACTAAAGTTTTAAAAATAATATGTCAATTAACAAGTCCTCAATACCGAGTATCCCTTATTCAGCAATCCAAAATTAAAAATATTGTGTATGGAGTTACATTTGAACTATGTGTTTGAGGTATATATGGAACATAAAAGAATTTTGTGTTTCGACTTGGGTCCTATCTACTAGATAGCTCACTGTGTACATGAAAATATTCCAAAATCTGAAAAAAAAATATCTGAAATCCAAAATACTTCTGGTTCCAATCATTTCGAATAAAGGATATTTAACCTGAATGATAAGAAAGGCTTCTCTATAATTGTTTTCAAAACATCCCAAAACTAGATTAATTCGTAAAACAACGGAAGCTCCCACCATTCAAACTCTTCAGTTGATTAACTGAGGAACCCACCTACAAGCATTACAGTAACACATTCCTCACAGTGACTAGCAAAAGTACCTACCAGTGTAATCCCTTTGCAGAAACTCAGTGTGCTCTGAAGAGTCACTGGTTAATATGCTGGAAACTTCTTTGCCAGTATTTACTTCACCATCCTCATTAGTCCACTGTTCTCTTGTAAATTTATCATGATCTGGTTGCCTTTTGAAGTCATCATAGTCCTTCTTTAATCGAGACCTTCAACAGAACATCAGAGATAGGAATAAAATCATCAGCTTTGAAAAAAGAAAATGCTACAAAAAGCACACTTTTATCTCCAGCCTTCACTGGTTAAAAGCTGGAGGTGTGGAAATCAGGCTTTTGTCCAAACTGTACAGCAATTACAAAGTAGGATAACTGGTGCCGACTTCTTATTATTTGACATTATTCAAAAGGACTCAACTAATTACCTGTTCCTTTGGAAAGCCTTCAAGAGTTTTGGTTCCCATGGTAACAATTCATTTAGCAGTCGTATCAAAGTACAGTGTAGTTCCTTTACAGCCTGCTTTCGATGATACCACCTTCCCTACAAATATGGAAATACCATTATTATTGAAGTACATTTGTATCTAATCATGGTACATTCTTACATTAAATCTGTACACTAGGGCAGCAGGAAACATTTACCAATTTGTTTTTTCCTCTATTTTCTAACCAGTACTTAATTGCCCACATTATCAGACACTTTTTATGTTTTAGTTTTATAACTAAACACTAACACAGGAGAAAAAACTGATTTTGCCAGATATATTTACCCCTCAGAAGTGAAAATTACTTCTAAAAGAGTTATCATGGGGGCAAAGGGTCTCCACTGAAGCTTTCTCACCAATCCCACCCAACCTGGGGACTGCCTGTACCTTTTCTTCTCTGAGATGTACTTTTCTGAGATTACTTAAGTTAGTCATCAGATAAGTAGGCAACCCAAAAACATCCTTTATTCTTTTAGGTTCTGCTAGGAGTTAATAATAACAACAACAACAGCAGCAACAGCAACAACACACTCTATTTATGTTCCACCTTTCTCCCCTAGGGGGCTCAGAGTGGATGACAGCATTTACATACACAGGCAAACATTCAATGCCTTTAAAATCACATGAGACATACAAACACAAATAAAGGCAAGGTTTCTTTCATTTCCGGCTTCTGGAGGCGGTGCTCATCTCTGGCTCTGGGAGGTTCTTTTGACCATTTCCAAGACAAGGAGCCTGCGTTATTACCTCCTGGTCATAAGGTCAGCAAGATTGCTTGTAGCGTCTATTTGCCTTTTCCCGCCGAAGCGGTACCTATTTACTCACATTTGCATGTTTTCGAACTGCTAGGTTGACAGGAACTAGGGCTGAAAGACCCTGTCTCGCAGATTCGAACTGTCAACCTTCAGGTCAGCAGTTCAGCAGCACAAGGGTTTAACCCATTGCACCACTATGGCCCATTAACAGTTCTTAATTTTTTTTACTTCGTTATCCAAAAAAACTACTTGTGTGCAATATAATTTATGCACAAATATTCATAAGTCTAATGTCACTGAATAGAAGGCTTAAGTTTACGTGCCAAAAACCAATTTTCTTAGCTGAAAAAGATATTCTCTCGCTTCCTGTTGCCTCGCCCTTTTGTAACTAGAAGTTGTTTGTAAGTCGGATGTTTGTACGTCTGCATTTTGAGACTGCCCAACAGAAACTGTTCCATTTATGACTAGGAAACATACATTATCATATTATATGTGACAGATACATTAAAAGAACATTTAAAATATAGAAGTAAAAGTAAGGGTTTTGTAATACTTTAGTTTCAAATTTATTCATAAAGTAGGAGAAATTAAATTTGGTGTTAAAAAGCCCATTGTTAATTTTTATGAGCATTAACGTAAAACATGAGCCGCTTGCAATCTTTCTACCACCATTCATCTTAGAAGTTAAGGTATTAGCTTTTATTGTCTTTACCTTGCAATGGAATTAAAGGACTGTAGGACTACCCTACGGTTCTTTGAAAATCAAACCTACTGCTATGAACATATAATTCATTTCTGTGGACTAGTACATTTCATCATATATAAAGCTGAACGGCTGCACAAGAAAGATATGGTTAATGAGAAGAAAGTCTTTCTAAGTAGAACATTTAGGTTTAGGGGATGGAATTCAATTAATCCATCCTGCTAACAAACAGCTTTTATCATGAGAATACAGAAGAGACAATTCACTCTGCAGCTCTCAAAACCCTCTCAAAATCTCCTCCAGGAGGCAGGAGTCAATCTCAAGCAGATTTTGAAAGGGTGTAGGGCAGAGTTTTCCAAACATTTTATGTTAGTGACACACTTTTTAGACATTCCGTAATTCAGTTTTGCTAGCAAATCAGAGGTTAAACCAACCCCTTATAAGACACCTACATACATTGTAATAACGAAATGTTTGGGGACACAACATATCCCATTAAAATCTTCCATTTATATTTTTAAATATATATGATTTCCAAGATTTTCTCATTGTGTGACACGTTTACACTAACATGGAAAGCTCTGTTGTAGGGGGTAATGAGGTGAGAAGGTCTTGTTGCATGAGTGGATGTTTGCTCTCATGAGAGAGCTGAATGCACTTTTTATAGTTGAGTGAACTATGTGAACATGTAGGCTGGGATGGGGATTGACAAATGTAGCCCTTCAAATGTTGGACTATATTCCCAGTGAGGCAAATGGCATTTAATGACCTGTAGAGGGCAACACTTTATCCATCCCATGTCCCCCTACATGGGTAGTGTCTGTATTATGAAAGGAAAGGAAAACAGTTCATAAACGTTCCTTTAAAGCACGCCTATACAATCTGTGGCCATCCAGGTGTTTTGGGCTTCAGCTCCTAGAATTCCCAACTATTGAACAAGCTCCTAGAGACTTCTGGTTGTTGGAGGCCCAATAACCTAGAGGGACACTTTAGAGTAGACCTGCTCTAAAGTAAAAAAAAAAAAGTAAAAAAAAATGCACACACATACTTCACAAGAAAAATTGGAATAAGCGAAAATATGGAAGCATATTTGGAAGGAAGAAAAATGCAAATAAAAAATATCCATTGTGCCTTTAAAACTGTTTCTCTTTGTGGCTTGCCCTGTAAGCTCTCTGAAATCACTTTAAATGATAGATTTTATACAAGTTGATACTGTACCTATTTCTTTCATTCTGATTTGACAAGTAATTGTTATGAACCATACTCTTGCTTTTTTACTATTAAAGACATGTATTTTGTTCAGCTATATAAAGAATTTACATGGGCCTCTAAAAACTACCTATTTTAAGTACCACTGATCACAAATCCATCGGTATGGCCCGCAGGCCTTGCAATTGACGCATGTGTCCTACAAAGTTTAATGGGACTTACTTGCGGGCTAGTTCATATAGGATAGGAACCTAAAAGAATTTGACTTTTTCTATATTTCTGAGTATTTTTTTTGTTTCTGCAGAAACATTCAACATACTGTAGTTAAATAAATAAAATTATTACTTTGAGAGAACATTATAGAGAGCCTGGATCCACAGCAATGTTAAGCAAAAAATAAGCTTAACATTCAAGCACAGTTGAATGTTTAGAAATGGAAACGAGCATCATATAGGCCTCTTGTAAGTGAATATTTAACTAGGGTATTTATACTGTCTTGTTAATAAGCAGACACTGTTGGTATAGATTCCAAAGTGCTTAGAGGCAGGTGGGGGCAAGAGGAGGGGAATATAATACAAAGGGAGAAAAGTTACACTGAATTCAGTGGAGCTTAATTCCGAGAAACCTCTTTTTAGCCTTATTTCACATCCTATGATAACTGCCAGTTTTTCAGTGGCACCAGTTCCATTGTGGATTGCATTAAATTTACTTTGAACTATTCTATCCCATGGTACTATGACACATAGGAGCATCCAGTGGCACAATGGGTTAAACCCTTGTGCCGGCAGGACTGAAGACCGACAGGTTGGAGGATCAAATCAGGGGGGAGCGTGGATCCCTCTGTCAGCTCCAGATCCCCATGCAGGGTGTTCCCTGGGCAACGTCCTTGTAGATGGCCAGTTTTATCATACCAGAAGCAACTTGCAGTTTCTCAAGTTGCTCCTGACACACAAAACCCCCCCAAAAAAAACCAAACAAAAAAACCCAAAATAAAACTATGACACATATTCTAAATTATACGCAGCAAAGAATAAATGCAATACTTATTCAACATTTTGGGTTGGGGCATCAATTCTGTCACAAATATACCCTTCTGTCCCATTCAATACATCTTTACAGTTTCAACTGAAACTGAAGAAGTTGCAGGAGTCTCTCTCCGAAACTGTAACTATTTTTTTAAAAACCTTCCATATACCACTAGTTACAAGATGACTTACATTACTTGCAGTGTTAAAACCCATGTATAGCTGTGGATAGTTACTTACCTTTGAATAAAATTTTCTGACTCTGATCATTCTAACAATATTACCCCAATTCTTGCAACTGGGTGCAACTCATTAGTTATTCCACGATTTGTTGGGTAAGAACGTGTCTTCCCTTACTTACTATAAGTCCACATCAGACATCTCTAGGTCCCAGGTGTGTGATGAAGCCATACGTTGCTGTTATAATACTAGATGATAGATCACAGTTTCCCTTCATTCAGAGTGAGAATCAAAACGGTAAGATTCGTAGAGTATCAAAAGTTTGGGAGATACTGTATAGAAGTGATGTGATCCCTGACTCTAAATTCCGTAGACTGGATAAACCAGGAGGAAAGGGCAACACCTGATAAAAGTAATGGGAGGGACAAACTGTGTTTGTCTATGCTGTTAGTCACAAGTTATATTTGACTAAAAAAGCCCTAGAGGCAATGCCCAAACACTGATATGCAATTGTTTTCCTTCCCACAAGTTAATAACTGAAAGCCAATATGGGGACCAAATGGAAAATTTTGAAATTTTTCCACGATTCACACTGTGCATGTAGGTTATCAACAGATAATCCTCAGAAACACAACTTGAAATTAGCACATTAAACAAAGGTAAGACATAATCTAAATACATACCGATTTCTTTTTGATATTCTCCATATCTTTGAGTTCATTCTCAATTTTTCCAATTAATTCCCTGAGTTCATCAAGATTAGTGCAAATAAGCTGAAATCAGAGTCAAAAAGGCATTTTGCATCAAGCAGAGATCTTGTGTAGAAAACAGGCATGCATGTTTACTCAGAAGTAGACATTACTAGATTCCATGGTGATTTCGAAAGTAAATATACTTAGGACTGCAGTCTAATAAAGCTTGAACTATTATTCTGAATGACTGAAGAAAGGATTTATGGATTTTGGTGATGAAATTGAAAATAATGGTTCTGGAACTTTGAAATTTAAATTGCTGACTATGCTTAAATTATTCTGAACTGTTGTACCGAAAGTACTGAGCACACATGAATCATTTAGAGCAGGGATCCTCAAACTTTTTAAACAGAGGGCCAGGTCACAGTCCCTCAAACGATTGGAGGGCCGGATTAAAATTTGAAAAAAAAACCAAAACATGAATGAATCATACACTGCACATATCTTATTTGTAGTGCAAAAAAACCCCCACTTAAAAACAATACAATAATTAAAATGAAGAACAATTTTAACAAATATAAACTTATTAGTGTTTTAATGGGAAGTGTGGGCCCGCTTTTGGCTGATGAGATAGGATTGTTGTTGTTGTTGTTGTTGTTGTTGTGTGCTTTCAAGTCGTTTCAGACTTAGGTTGACCATGAGCGAGGGCCGGGTAAATGACATTGGAGGGCCATATTCGGCCCTTGGGCCTTGGTTTAAGGACCCCTGATTTAGAGTTTTAAAAACAAAGATTTTAAAAATGTATTGCTTATTTTATATTTTGTTCAGCTCCCATTTAATAATTCAATTTAGATCAGTTAGGCCAGTCACAGGAAATATATAAATATATATTTTAATTTTAACTTCAGAAAATTTTAACAAGAGTTACTTCTACTAAAATAATTTGAAAATAGTATCCTTAGTGCAGAATCCAATGATGTAGGTTATTGCCTTCCAGAATGTCCACCAAGGCACTACCTTTCTGTAGTAGGGGATTGCACTTCTGTGGGGCAAGAGGCTATGCTCATGGTAGCAGCACCACCCGTGGGTATTCTCATGGCAGACTGAATTTTGCTGAGGATGCAGACTGAATGGGCAGCAGTGGGGGGTGGACATTTCAGAGAGGGTGGCCTTTTATCTGCTTCTTGGCATAGGCATACATGATGGAGCTATCCCTGGCTTTTCTTCTCTGCCTCCATGAGGAGAACAGTGGCAAGGTTTTGGATTACTTATTAGTACTAATTAATATTAATGGCAAACCCCCTTTTAATGTATTTTATCATGAAAATTAATTGAAGGAAGAACCATAGGTTGATGAAAATGCACCTTTAGAAAAGGTGGGAGAATCACCAGGAAGAAGTGACACACCAAAAGAATAGCTCCAAGCTACGAAGAGAGAAACTGCTCAAATTCTAATTAAAATATGGAAAACAAGATAATGGTCCACAGATTAGAAATACTCAATATACATTCTGATTCCCAAGAAAAGAAACACCATGGATTGCAGTAATCACAGGACCTGCAAATTCTACAAAAATGAATGACTTTTACCACATATGGCATGAAAACTAGCAAATGTCCAAGCCGGGTTCAGGAAAAGAAGAAGCACTACGGATCACAGTAAAAAACAACCTTGGATAATGGAGCACACCAAATCAGAACAAAACCAGCCTTTACGTGCCATCCAATCCAACACGTTGAATAGCTCTTAAAGAAATGGGTATGCCACAACATTTGATCATCCTGATGCATACCTGTACACTGGATGAGAAGTCATCATTAGGACAAATACAGAGAAGTGGAATGGGTTCCAATTGGAAAAGGGATCAGGCAAAGCTATATTTTATCACCCTATTGATTTAGCTTGTATGTTGAACATATACATAAAGCAAGGCTCGTCTTTGAGGAAAGAGACATGAAAATTCAAGGAAAGCACATCAAAAATTTCAGATATGCAGATGACATCATAATGCTGCAACAATTACCAAGAAAAGTAAAGGAAGGAAGTGCCCATATAGGTTCACAGCTGAACATTAAGAAAGCAAAAATGAATCAACAATGGGCCTGTCCAAGTTAGGATTCACAAGTGGATTTGGATGGTAGTTCAGTTATTCTGTTACCTTCTTCTTCCACTGGAATTTATTGGCGAATCAATAGCTCTGCTATTCCCACTACTTCCGGTTACCGTTGTACTTGCAGTCTTATGTAAGAGCCAAGCATTTGCTGGCCAAAAATGAGTGCATGATTCTGAGCAATAAGATGTCATTCTAACCATCATCAACATCATCTAAAATCTTTGGGACTAAAATTTCACTCCTAATGACTGGATGGCAATCCAATCCATATTACTGGATTGATCAAGTTCTAAAGATGATTTTAAACAGTTAACCTAAAAGACGATGATTGCAAATAGTGCCTACATTATGTACAAGGCTGTTGAACAACTTATTTATTTAGAGCAGTGATTCCCAGACTTTGTACTTCATTTCCTAGAATTCCTATTGCTAATGCTGGTTGAGGCTTTTTAGGTTGAAAACCATCAGAGGACCATTGATATAGAGCAGGTCTTCTTAAACATTTCCACTCAGGTCCTGAGTGGAAATTTAGAGCAGGGCTTCTTAAATATTTCCATTCAGGTCCTGAAAGGAAATGTTTAAGTAAGAAGCTCTGCTCTAAAGCAATTGTCCCCTTTTGGTCCAATAAAATTTTACATGACCTCAAATATATAAAATAAGCATAAAAATCAAACATTTACTGATAACAAATTTTGGGACCCAACCACTGAGCTAAGGGGACCTCATTTGGGATTGGGACCCATAGTTTATTTACAACCTACCTTTCAGTCACAAAGGCTCTCAGAGCAGTTTACAAATAGTTAATTTGCCAATTCTCTGTCCTTAGATTTACAATCTAAGCAAGAAAGAAAACTCAAGGGCATGATAATGACAACAGCGGAGGGCATTAAGTCAAACATATGCTGCTGCTTCCCTCTCTCTGAATCCATGGTAGTGGAAATTTGGAAGGAGGATGGCCTTTTATCTGCTTCTTGGCATAGGCAAGCATGATGGAGCTATCCCTGGCTTTTGTTCTCTGCCTCCATAAGGAGAATGGTGACAAGGTTTTGGATTACTTCATCCACCAATCTCTACTAGTAAAGGGAGAGATGAAGTGATTTATATTTCAAAGATCTGGAGGTAATAACTGGAATGTGTATGATATTTGTAAGATCTGAAAACAGCTGCAGAGCATTTTAAAGTTCTTAATTGGCAAAGTATATATTTATTTTAGAAAATATATACTTGTAAAAATAATCCTTTGAGAATGTATTGGTACATTTATGGTCAATAAACAATACCACAGCTAACCCACAATCCAAAGAGCAAGCAAAAAGCAAATTGCTACTTGGTATGTTTTCCTGCATATATGTTGCAAAGACATTACAACTGGCTTTGGGGATAACGTTGGGTTCTAGTGAAAAAGGGGCCCAGAAAGTTTCTGGTTCATGTGCAGACTATGTCCTTCTAATTACATCTATTATTATTCCAAAAAACCTCAACTGTATTCAATGGTGCTTATCATACCATACTCTTACATCACAGCTTAATTAGTCTAAATTGATGTTTTTATATGTGCTGCCTATGTTTTATTTTATTGTGTTTTATATTGTGTTCACTTTTATGTTTGTTTTTAGGCACTTTGTGCCATCTGTAAGCCGTCCCAAGTCCCTTCGGGGAGATGGTGGCGGGATGTAAGAAGAAAGTTGTTATTATGAACTAGTCGTCCCCTGCCATGCGTTGCTGTGGCCCAGTCTGTGTATATGTATTTTGTGTGTGTGTATGTGTGTGTGTGTATATTTGTGTATATATGTGTATTTGCATTTATATATGTGGATCTGCACATGCGTTGTAAGGCATTTTTAATTTATTTATTTTTTGGCTTTTTAAGTCTCTTCCGCTGTGTTTTTCAGTGGTTTTTTTTTTGAGTGATGGTCACTCATTGATCTGATACATGTATTGTGTCCAAATGTTTGTGTCAATTTGTCCAGTGGTTTTTGAGTTATGTTAATCCCACAAACGAACATTACATTTTTATTTATATAAATTATCATTACATTGCTGGGAGGCTCTCCTCTCCATCCTGCCTCTGTCTCAACTGTGGTTGGTGGGGACAAGGGAGAGGACCTTCTCGGCACTGGAATGCCCTTCCCAGAGAACTTAGGCTAGCCTGCACACTACAGCACTTTTGGAAAGAACTAAAAACTTGGCTCTTTCAACAGGCCTTTGATAACGTTTAGGATAACAGCCAGCCTAATATCTTCAGCCAGAGAAGGCTAAATTGATTGCATGGATCTTGTAATCCATACTTTGTCATGTTTATTGACTTATTGCTCTTGCTAATTTTATATGTCTGGTTTTTAAATGTGTTATCAATTTTAATGTTCACATACTGTATTTTATATGTTCTGTGGCACCATTGTGTGCTATTTGTAAGCTGCTCTGAGTCCCTATGGGACATGGTGGTGGGGTATAAATAAAAGTTTATTATCATTATTATTATTATTATTAATGACAGATTAAATGTGCCTTTGCCTTGACCTTGTCATACAACATTATGGGTCTCTTGGTGTTACGTTACAGAGTCAATGGGAATTAACTTTTTCGTGCTGGATATAATCTCTTAATGACCTTCTTTCCTACAATGCCTCAGTAACCACTTTGAGTCAGAATGTCTCATTCTGCTTTACTGAGATAATGATTAAACAGTGGATGTGATGTGGGTCGGGCCTAGTCTCTCGACTGAGGATTTCCATGGAAACTCCAAGCAGGGAAAACTCAAACTATTTCCACTGTTTGGTTTAGGAAAACAAGACTCCCTAAGCGAATATCTGTGTTTTATGCTCTGTTTTATATAATTTACACCCTTGAAATCTTTTTAGATGGTTTGGAACTGTATTATTACTAGTTTTAATTTTAAAGGCAATAATGCAACAATTCTGTGATATCACGATGCAATATTATTGTTATTCCTTGATTTTTTAAATTAAAGAGAAACCAACAAAAAGGAAGTGAGGGCAGGGGAAACAGTACAGTGAGAATTGATGATCTTTGGTTAAAAAAAACAACAACACAGTGTTATGCTATGAAAGAGGGTGTAAAACACAATTATGCAAGGACAGCTTTGCAAGTAAGAGTAAAGAGGCTTTCAAATGGGCCCTGAAACAATGGACTAGAGGAGCACCAACAACTCATTATACTTTCACCTTTGATTTAATCATTTACTCTATTTGAAAAAAAACAGCTTTCCCTTCTTTTTTGCTTTCAGCCTAAAAACCATTTTGGAATTAAAAAACATTACAACCAAAAAGGTATTTACCTGAAATTCTGGAACAGCAGGTTTTGTAATGGATTTTTTTTTCTTTATAATGGTTTTTTTAGATATGGATTTCTTTCCTTGAAGGGAAAAAGATTTGTATATGTAAAATAAATACAACTGCACTTTAAAAATCAAATTACGCAGATTTTAAAAGATCTGTAAAAACAAGTTGTAGCAGGCAACAGCTGTCTTTCAGAATGTCTTTCTATCACCCAGAGGCTCTGTCTCATTAAGCACAAACGACCACCAGCATTCAATACTGCAGTTACAGATTTGTAATCAAAAGTTACAGTAACTAATCTGTATTAAGACTACCCAGTCTTACTATTAAGCTATGTAAATGCCACCCCAATCCACTTTAAGAGTTAGCTGCTAGATCAGAGGAAGAGGCCCACTCACTGACAAATGGGGTACAAGGAGGATGCTTCTGTTCACCTACCACCTGAGAGCAGGTTGCTATCATCAAAACAGAACTACAGCAGGACTCTTAACAAGTCCTTGTCACTGTCTTCTTTGTTGGTAGGAGGCAGATAACCTGTTATTGCCTTGTGAATGGATCTACTTCCTTGATCTACTGACTGGCTCTTAAGGCGGATGGGGGAAGGAGCTACATCACCTAAATACATGGCTGATCTAGGTTTCTGGATTTCATGCTGGTTTACTACAAGACATTTTAAATAATATTTTATAAATCTCAAAATTGTGGATCAGCAAAACAATAAAAACAATTCCTATAAGAAACTATATCATTAATATCTCCAAGCCAACCACACAGATTCCACATTATTGATTACACCAATTTACTTGAAGACACCTTACTCATATACATATAAATTACTACTGCCCTATCACAGGCTTCTATGTGGATCAAATCAGACGGGTTATTTGGCCAAAGTCTATGGCTCAAAGGAACAGAAACTTCCCCAATCCCTACATCTGCACAATTAACAAGGCAAAAAAAATCATGATTAATGCTAAAAGCAAAATTGTACTTTGAGACACTTACTTTTTAAATGAGCAAATAGGAAGGATACAAGAAGAAACCCTACTAGTCACAAAATTGTAAGGAAGTACCAGGTTCACCAAAATAACAATAAAACCTATCCTTCCGACCCACAGGGTTGTGTGAAAAGCATATTTCATTGATTGATTGTTTGATTGAATGTATACCTCATCTTTCCCTCAGAATGGAGTCCAAGTGACCTTTTGTCCACTTGTAAGGCATGTGAATTACAGATGGACCACCTTCCTTGAGGAGTTACCTTCAAGAGGCCATATATTATATGGACCGATAGTTAATAATATCACCCTTTCTCTTTTGTATGCCTTCTTTTTCATCGTTTCTCTCTCTCAAAGTTGCTATAACATAGCATATGCATGCACACCGGAAGTATCTGGAAGTTCTATTAAACTGTTAAAAACTAAGGGAGACAGGAGCAACAACTACTGATATCTTTTTATGCAGAACCTATAACAAAATCCTTCAATTCTAAACATAATACCATATTATTTAAATAAGTATAGTTATTGCATATATACCAAAAGCAAACTCAGTTATCTAAATGTAAGTCCTTATGTAGCCAGAACATGTGTCATATATGAAATCCTTGGAAAATCCTAAATCTTGAAAATATCTAGAAAGGTTTGGGGGGGAGAGGGGGGGAGCCCAGCATTCGTTTCATTGGAATGCATTATAATTAAGGCAGATCATTTGTTTTGAGATGTGACCTTTGAAAATGTTTAGTCAACACAAACACAGTATGGAATTTATGTCCCAACCATTAGTGACAACTCTTAAAAATAATAAGAAATATAAAATGTCTATCATTTAGGTCCAACTCCAGAGGATTTATAGGATTTCAAAAACTTCTCCACTTGGTGCTATGTATGTTGTGCAAGAAAACATAATTGGATAATGTCCCATCTGCCTGGATAATAATCAAATACTACTACACATATTTTTTAAAAATTGTGAAAATCTGATTCCCAAAATGTTTACTTTGTTACTCATTTAAGCAGTCTGCAGCATCTAGCAAAACACAATTTTGTACTTTTCTTTAAAAAACTTCTTTCAATTAATTTTGGATAAAATTGTACATTCATAACATAGCTATTACCTGTGACTAGCTGGAGATGCTGCATCATTACATCACAAATTATAACAAATCTCTCATAAAAACATAATGTTGAATAGGCCTAAATCCAAGCATTACTTTCATCTACAATAAGCACAGTAAACTAAGAGAAACTTGGTACCTCCGAACTCAGTCCAATCATTCAATGGATCCATACTAACAAACAGACTAAAGCCATTGGTTATTGAAATAATATTTTACTAAGAAAGAAGTGGGCAGATGGTGTGTGTTCTCCAGGGCGATGGGGGGGGGGGAATGTGGCCACCATTAAGAGGAGCTGCCATAGTACCTTCCTGCTGTCCTTGCCGTACTCAGTATACTACAGCCACTCCCATCCACCCACCTCCTCTATCTTCGGAGCTCTCCTCTCTTCTCTGTCTCATTCCCTCTGTCCTTCCTGGAGACCCACCAATTTCTCTCCCTTCTCGCACTCCCCCATTCCCTTCCACACCTGAGCAAATAAGAATGCATGGGGAATGCACACACACACTCTCCTTCCTCATGCTTCCCCTCCTAAACCCTTTCTCCTGGCCCTCTGAGCAAGTGTGGGAGGAAGGGAATGTGTGTGTGTGTTTAACTCTCTCTCTTTGTCCTTCCCTTCCCTTTTATACACTGAGGTAACAGTGAATCGCCAGGACCGGCCACCTATCAGTTTGACTTCCTCCTAGAGACCACAGATTTGGCCACTGACTAAGCCTGACCTAACATAACACATCTCAAGACGGATACTGGTGTAATCAAGGCCCCTATTAAAATTTCCATACGGCATCAGCTGAGAAAGCAATAAATGATCTGCAACCATCAAATCTACGAAGGTTAACGCCACAAATGTTGAGAGATAACAGTATATTTACAATGACAGTAAAAATGTCAGCAGATAAATTCAATATTTTAGTTTTGGATGTTTTCTTTAAAAATCTGATTTAAGTCAAAAATACAGTTTGCAAACCCACCAAAAAAATTGGTATCTTCAAATAAAGGCATTGTGTTGTATTTGGACCATGAATTATTTCTCAAAAAGATAATGTTAATGTTGCTTCAATTATGTGATTTAGGCTTGAGTGAACATTTATCGATAACACTGCTTTACGTATATATTCAAACATTCTAAACATAATTTTCATGTAAATTATATAAACCTTGACAGCAAAACACTCACACAAAGGTTTACAATCTCGGGGTTTGAAGTGAGAAAGCTTTATATTTTAGACATCTATTCAATAAACCAAGACTGAAATAATACCTTAAGAGATTGATCTGTGTCACTGGCTCAGAGCATATGAGTTAGAAACAACCCAAAATAATGATGCTGTGAATATTTTCAAGGATACAGATTATTATGACAGATATTGCTTCCTGTCAATATCTTTAGGCAGTTCCTAGTAATTCATTGTGCCAAGAGTTAATTGACAGTTATATCAATCTGCATAAAACTGTAACATTCTAAAAAAAACTAATGAATGAAGAATGGCAATGTAAGAATTCAATGCCACTTCTACACTGACACAGGCATGAAAAACATACAGAAGCTTCTGGAATTCTTTACAGTAGAATGTCTTCAAGTTTCTGATTTTTCTAGCTTTGCTACACTGACTGAAAATAAATCTTTTACAGAAATGAATTTCATAAAGTATTGATGAAGAATTTAAGAATGTTTCTTGGACAACACCTCGCAGAATCTGCTAGCCAGCAAGGCTAGTGACAGGAGTATTATGGGCATTATAGTCAAATATGACTTTTCCAGGTTCTGCTTGCAGTGGCTCAAAGTGCCAGCAGAAGTGCAGGGATGGTTAAGACTTTGTGCATATCTTCAGGCAAAAGTAAGACTGGGCTATGCTTAAGTTTAGCAAGATGGGCTGAGTTTATTTAACACATCATAGGTTCTGAGACAAAGAGAAATCTACAACAGAAAATGATGCGGAAAAATTAATGTGCCATGCGGTATCCAGCGGACTTTGTGCTTAAGGCTCAGAGTAGATGGAAAGTGAGTAGATTTGTTACTTAATTTCCTACACCATTCATGTAGTTGTGGCAGTTGGTGAATTGGATCAGGCAAGAACAAAAGAGAATGGGGTGCTTGTCTCTACACTTCTTCTGCACCAGTCTACATAATATACCTATGACTGAAAGGTGCTATCTGCACAGCGATACATATTACTATTAAGTACCAGTGTGAAGACTCAAGCTAAATAACTGCCCAATTACACCTAGATTTATTTATTTCTGTATATTTTAAGTTTTGTAATGCGAACACAGAGATCTTTTTTCAGTGGCTACCACTACAATATATGAACAAGACTAGAAGAAGTAATCCTAACATTTAAATATCAGAAGAGCTTTTTGAGATGTCACTGTGAAATATGTGACACATTTCTGGCTGTATATATTTATATTTTTATATGGATGAAAAATTGAGAGGTCTCAGTTCCAAGTCTTGATCTGTCCCCCAAACATGAAACCCTAGTGGGTGATCAGGAGCCATCTACTCTCTTTCTCAGCCGACAGATAAAGTAGAAAATAGAAAAGCCACTGACCTTATCTAGCATTTACTGAAGGAAAGACAAAATATAGATTTAGCAAATAAATAGTTTTCAAATACAAGGCAGTCAATTCTGGTGTCTTTTAAAATCCACAAACAAAAGCATGAATCATTCAAATCATCTTGTCATCAAATCACCTTACCAGATTTGTGCTTCTTGTGTTTTGCTTTCTTTTTCATCAGGAATAACTTATTCTGTATCTCAGGTTTATAAGATTTCAGTGACTGGAGGTGAAGCTCACGTTTTCGCTGAAGGCTTTCATTCAAAATATCTTTCAATTTCTTTTTCTTCTTTTTCTTCTTCTTTGCTCGTATTTTACTAAACTTTAGTGTTTTGTTTTCTACAGAGAGGTCTGGAGTTACATCTTTAGGAGCTCTGTGGCAATTCATGTCCGGATTGTCACAGTGATTCCCATTCACATGCAACTGGCAGGTTTTAAGAGTGTTCTCTTTTAATGGAGTGGCCTCCGTTTTCACTACTAAAGATTCAACACATTTTTCACCATTTTCCACAATCCGAATTTCTCCTGGGCTTAAAGGCCCCACAAATCCAGCATTATCTCCTGGAACTATGGCCCTGTCTCTATTTTCTTTACAGCAGTCTGTCATAAAGTCACAGTCTTTATGAATGTTTTCTTCACAGCTGGGTTTGTCTTTTTCTGGTACAACATTCAAAAGGTCCAAGTGGGGTTTTGCTGAACAAATGCTTTTTCCAGGTGCCACTTTTGTTTCAAATAACAACTCCGTAGGACTAATTTCTCCATTACTTTTAGTGGTATTTTCACATTTTACTTTCTCTAATTTAATACGTGGTACCCTTTTCACCTTAATGGGAGGAACTGGAAATTCAGGAGCACGAAAAGGCTTCTGTTTGTATATTCGTACATCGGCACCACAGAACTGTGGGAAATGAACATAGGCATGTTCTAAGTAATCATAGCCCAGAATCACTTCCCTGCACTCATGAATAGGCTGCCCAAGTACTGCATCTTGAACATCCTTTTGGGTTTCGTATACGAAGTCACAAAGGCCTTTTAGTAGCCATACTTTTTGACAAAACGGGAGTTCATGAAATGGTCTTTCTTGCAAGGGATTAGTTTCGCCAAGGACTTTAAAAAATTGAGGACACAGACCAAGTTTTTCTGCAGAAGTTTCAGGGTTATCAGTTTGTCCCACCGCGGTATACCATTGCTGTACTTTCTGCCTAAGTGCTGCTTCCCAAGCCCTGTAAGGGAGACTTGGCCTTCGATGCAAGGTAGCTCTTCGGTGTGGAGGACTCAATAAAGAAGTCATTATTTTTGACAAAAAAGCACTACACTGTGGCATCAAAAGGCAGCGTTCCAATTCGTAAAATACTATTTCAGGCAAGTTTAAAATATATTGTGCTAAACATAGGAAATGACCAATTGCTGGAATTTCCCACATGTTTTCCATCCGGTAAGGTGCTGCTTGAGATAACAGGGACTTGTCCCATTCTTCAATTTCTTTTTGACTAGCTTCTTCTGCCTCTTTTCTTTCTTGCTCTCGAAGCCTAATAAAAGAAAAATAAAAAGCAATTCCAGCTTAGTATTTAAAACAGAAACAAGAAACAAAGTAAATAAAAATGGTATCCCAAAACAAAAGAAAATGCCTAGTTGTTAAAAGATTTAAAACTGAAAATTGAACAATTTAACAATAATGAAGTATAAAACTCCAACAAATAACATCTCTGATTGGCTGAGAATGGACACAACCGGTGACTAAAATTCCCAGAACCCTCTCTTGCAGTTTGTCTTATTTTTAAAAATGTTATGGTTAAAACTTAAAATGATTCTAAAAATAAGTAGACTGGTGAATTGTTTTGAAACTTGACAGGCCTGCAGTTGTAAATGGGGTCTGAAACTGAGATAGGTTTCATGCAGATAGGCCTTAAAATGACTGAGGATTGAGCCTTTAAATTTTCCCATTGTAGCTAATGGGCTGAATATTTGAATAATGAAAATGGCAACACCCCTCCCACGAGGTAACTTCCCGGTAAACAGCATGAGGGGTCAGCCGACAATGAACCGCGAAATGGGATGCTTTTGGCCGAATTGCACACCTCTAGTATTTATTTATTATTTATTTGGTTTACTTTTACCCTGCCCTTCTCACCCCGAAGGGGACTCAGGGCGGCTTACACATCCAAGGCACAATTCGATGCCCGTAACATACCACAGCAATAAAACAAATAACACAATTTAACAATCAACAGCAATACATTACATCTATACCCGTTAAAACCAATAAAACCAATAAAAATTTCATACAAACCGATACAAACCAATTACAGTTACTGTTTTACATACTCGGGGGGGGGGGGGCAGGCCATCATCATCTAAAAGACTTGATTGCTCTAAAATGCTAGAAGCTTTTTCAAGTAACATTTAAAAATGAAATGATAAAAAGAGAAAGAACAAATTTATTATAGTAGGATATATCATAAAGACACATTCTTGCCAGCTCGGGCTATTGCAAACATGTTTCATTTTTCATTTTACCTTACTTTAGATTCAAGCAATAAAAATTTAATTCCCCATCTGATATTTGCCACAGAACTCTTATTTCATTTCTATTTCTGGCTTTATGTTATTTCTTAATAAGCCTGCAGCAGCACAGCAAGTAGGTTCAGCTCAGGACTACACAAGGTGCCCTTGATGGACTCAACTACCCCGAGTCCCTTTTTGGGAGAGAGGTGCAATCTAAAAATATAGTTTTATTATTATTTTATTATTACTCTCTATTTGTGAGGCTGCACTGCTTATCATCTTAAGAGTCTCTCAGCGGTATGCACCAGAGCACCGCAGCTCCTACTGTTTCTTAGTGCACAGCTTTGTTCAAACATGCAATCAAGCATCAGCCACATCAAGACCTGGTGCTCTCTGTGCTCTTGCTAAGCCAGAGCGATATGCTAGGAGGAATTCCTCGTGGCAGAAATGGGATGGAGTGCCAAGTTTACATACCCAGATCTGCTGCACTGGTATTTTAACTATGTCACCACATCTGCAGTAAACCAGTATAAATGCATTCAGTGCCACTTCCTGGTAACTTCTTCAGTTCCTACAACAGCAGCACTAACAAGCTGCAACCACATAGAGGCAGTGGCATACAGCATTGTGACATACTGGAAAAGACTAAGAATGCAACATGCTGCTTCCAGTACAAAATTCAGATAATTTTAGGAGAACATGGGGGGCGGGGGGGCGGGGAGGACCAAAGGTTAATGGTGGAGAGCATATCCTGCATGCAAAAAGTTCCAGACTCAATTCTTCCAGATTCTTTTGTCAGAAATGCTAGGTAGCTGCTTCCAGCTAATCTTGACAATACTGGAATTGATAGTTTAATAGTTCACTGGAAAGAAAGTGTGACTATATCAATTTTGGATGATTTTAGAATTCAGGATAAGAGATTCTCAACCTGTAATATTTAAGTCATCAAGAATAAACGGTAATTGAAAGAAAAGTTTATGAAGATAGTTCTTAGCATTTATTAAATTTAATGGGAAATCTGATCACACAGTACAGTATTTTACAACATCAAGGAGACTATATTTAGTATAATATTTTGGGATTCTTTATCTTTATTATTAAGACATGGCCTTGTTAATCTGGATCAGTATGTAAAAGGATCTTGTAACACCTCTAATTGGGTGAAAAATGGTTTCACCATATGCTTTTGTAGACTAAGTCTACTTCATCAGATGCCTAATTATATCAACTTTCTCTGTTTGGATCTTTAGTTCATTAAATAGCACATAATGTCAGTTTTCAGATTCAGAGATATTATATTAGAGATGGTTAACTAACACAGAGATAAACAATGGTCTAACCTAGGTTAGTTAACATGCCTGCCTCTTTGGGACATTGACAATCCTATCCCCATGTATTCCACATATTTTGGGATCAATCAGCCTCTGTTGGGAATATTGGAACTCCAGCCTAATTGCAACATTAGCCCTACCTACTGCAAAGTCTCTAATTGGTTTAAACCAGTTCCATTTCATTTCAGCAGGAGTACTCTGTAAGGGTATATGTAACATGCTTTGTAGAAGCAAGAAAAAGACTTCAGAAGATGAAGCTTCCTGAATCATGCATCATTGTCTATATTGATTCCTGAACACAATATATTCACTTGCCATACAGCAGCTCACATGATTATATTGCAAAAATGTTGGTGGTGGCTCGTGCTTACCAAGTGTACAATAAATACACACACAGTTTTCCAAGCTTGTAACTAAAATAAAATCATGTAAACTGATTCAGGATTGCACATGTGGAGGAAAACAGAAACAACAACCCTAATGTGTTTTATTCAAACATGACATTAATATTTACAGTACTTATAACTATAATCACTAGCAATGATTTCCCAAAGTAATCGAGCTTTCCACAAATAGTTGCCTTCTAGATCAGTGATTCTCAACCTATGGTTCCCCAGATGCTTTGGTCTTCAACTCCAAGAAATCCTAACATCTGGTAAACTAGCTAGGATTTCTGTGAGTTGTAGATCAAAACACCTGGGGACCCACAGGTTGAGAGCCACTGTTCTAGATGTATGGGACTACATTTCCTAGTCACGGAAACGTAACAAGACATTCATAAATAAATGAAGATTTTTCCACACCTTGCCTCAGTTAGAATGAAGACTGTCAAGATATAAGAAGACAAGAATTTAGAATAATAATAAAGGAACTGGTGTAATAATTCGTATAGATTGTCTATGCCATCATATTTTTAGCTCTATGCAAGGTTGTGAAAGCTGAACAAAGAAAAAAGTAGATAGAAAGAAAATCAACTTTATTTAAATGTGCAATGTTGGAAGCTACTTTATGCATATCATGGACTACCAAAAAGACAAATAAATAGACCAATAAGCATGTCAAGCCTGACTTTTGCCGAAAGGCCAAGATGACTAAAAGGAGTCTGTCATACTTTGGTCATACCATATTTTTTTGTCGTGTCAGGAGCAACTGGAGAAACTGCAAGTCACTTCTGGTATGAGAGAATTGGCCACCTGCAAGGACCTTGCCCAGGGGATGCCTGGATGATTTGATGTGATACCATCCTTGTGGGAGGCTTCTCTCATGTCCCCCATGAGGAGCTGGAGCTTATAGAGGGAGCTCATCTGCGCTCTCCCCGGATTCAAACCTGCAACCTGCAGGACTGTCGGTCTTCAGTCCTGCCAGCACAAGGGTTTAACCCACTGTGCCACCGGGAGCCATATTATGAGATGAAATGACTCACTGGAAAAGACGATAATATCTACTAAGTTAGAATGTAATAAGATCAGAGGAAGCTGGAGTGATGAATTGATAGACTCAATCAAGAAGCCATGGCCCTGAATCTGCAAGATCTGAAGGTTGATGATGGGGTGGTCTGAAGTTCTCTCATTCACAAGGTCACAATAAGTCAAAGTTGATTTGAGTGCCATTAACAGCAATAAGAATATTCCCAACAGAGAAAATAATTGGAAATGAATGCCTTTCACATGTCCCTCAAAATGTAAAAATTTGGAATCAGCTGTTAACTTGCAAGATATTCCATGAACATCACTATAACATGGTAATGACTCAGCAAGGAGGAAAACTTTGAGCCTAATGACATTGGACTAATACTTTTGAATTCTCTCCTCTACAATACAAATAAGGTGACTACTGTATATACTCATGTATAAATCTAGAAATTTCAGTAAAATTGTCCTGTCAAAAATCTATGGATCTATGTGTTGTTGTTCATTCGTTCAGTCGTCTCCGACTCTTCGTGACCTCATGGACCAGCCCACGCCAGAGCTCCCTGTCGGCCGTTACCACCCCCAGCTCCTCAAGGTCAGTCCAGTCACTTCAAGGATGCCATCCATCCATCTTGCCCTTGGTCGACCCCTCTTCCTTTTGCCTTCTACTTTCCCCAGCATAATTGTCTTCTCTAGGCTTTGCTGTCTCCTCATGATGTGGCCAAAGTACTTCAACTTTGTCTCTAGTATCTTTCCCTCCAGTGAGCAGTCGGGCTTTATTTCCTGGAGGATGGACTGCTTGGATCTTCTCGCAGTCCAAGGCACTCTCAGCACTTTCCTCCAACACCACAGCTCAAAAGCATCGATCTTCCTTCGCTCAGCCTTCCCGAAGGTCCAGCTCTCACATCCGTAGGTGACTACAGGGAAGACCATGGCTTTGACTAGGCAATGGATCTTTGTTGCCAGTCTGATGTCTCTACTCTTCACTATTTTATCGAGATTGGACATTGCTCTCCTCCCAAGAAGTAAGCGTCTTCTGATTTCCTGGCCACAGTCTGCATCTGCAGTAATCTTTGCACCTAGAAATACAAAGTCTGTCACTGCCTCCACGGTTTCTCCCTCTATTTTCCAGTTGTCAATCATTCTTGTTGCCATAATCTTGGTTTTTTTGACGTTTAGATGCAACCCGGCTTTTGCGCTTTCTTCTTTCACCTTGATTAGAAGGCTCCTCAGCTCCTCCTCGCTTTCGGCCATCAGAGTGGTGTCATCTGCATATCTGAGGTTGTTAATGTTTCTTCCAGCAATTTTCACCCCAGCTTTACATTCATCCAGCCCCGCACATCGCATGATGTGTTCTGCATACAAGTTAAAAGGTTGGGTGAGAGGATGCAGCCTTGCCGTACGCCTTTCCCAATCTTGAACCACTCTGTTGTTCCATGGATCTATGTAAGTAATATAATTTAACTCTTATAAAAATAAATTTTGAGTAAAGTAGCAAAAGGCAAAAGGCTTAGTCCCCGAGAAAGCTTACAAGAGGAATCAGGCCACTTTAGTATCTGCTGAGCAGAATTACTTTCCCCCTTTTTGAATTCTGGAGCAGGAAATGGTGGCAGCAGCTAGGAGTGGCTGGCTCGTGAGATAGTGCTGGCACTTTTACCCTCTGCAGAATGACCCCTTGACATCATGGGTCATGCCAAAATCTATAATTTTGCACACCCCAAGCCCTGCCCCTTGACTTATACATGAGGTCGACTAATACACAAGTATATACAGCAATTGGGAACAGAAATAAGAAGGCAGGTACAATAAAATGATACAAATTGCCATTAAAATGATGTTAGAGCTTGTTGAAGTCTGCATATTAATAACATATATCAATATTAATTTATGACAAATTTTAAATGTTAAGATCTGTATCTTGTTAACCTACACAAGTTACTTGTTCTATTGCCAATGTACTGAATATCAAGAAACATGCATATTTATTTTTTCTTTTATTATTTTTGTCATTTTTTTCTTTTTCTTTCTTTTTTTTTTTCCTTTCTCAGTCTTGGTGATGGGTGGTTGAAATTTTCCTACTTTTCTATCCTCTTCAAATTATTCCCCTTCTTTCGTTGTAGTCTATGATACTTTTAATAAAAATTTATTTGCAAAAAAAAGAAAAGAAACATGCATATATATGCATTTAAAACTGACAATTATTCAATCCAAGGTTTGAACTTAATATTAAATCATAGATGAGTCCCTGGAGCTCAAGCAAAGGTTCTTACTTGGCCCTCATTTCCTCTTTCCCACTCTGATTCTATAAAACTTGAAAAACACAGCCCTTCACTATATTTCTTTTACTCTAAGATATGTCGATGATTAACACTCTCTCGATGTACCCCCCAGAAAACCCTCATTAAAAATCATCTAAAAAAAGAAAAGAAAAACACTTAACCAGTTTTTATTATTCTGGGGTTGTCATTAAACCATGAATTGTTATTCAAGTCAGATAAACAATCTATGGTTGAAAGATGGGTTATTTACTAAGTGATTACATTATTTCATGTCCACAAATCTCATGAAAAAATAGGGACAGCAAAAATGGATACCCCACTAAATTCTTTCCTGGTTGCGAAAAAGAGCTCAACGTTCCTTTGACCCAATAGATTTTTTTACGCATAGCATGAAAATCATCTGTTACTGTTTCACAAGAACAAAGACATGAAGATATTTTATTGGTCTTCAATGTATTTTTGAAGATAGGAACACATTAAGCACAGAAAGTATGTCTGTTTACTTATCTCTTCCCCCTGCTATTCCTTTCATTTTATTACATTCAGTTTTACTGTAAAACAATTAGTACTGGCATCTTAAAGTACAGTTTAATGTATAATCATTAACTGGAATTAATTACAGCTACTCTGGATAAGCTGTGTTTTGACATGACAGCGCCATGTGAAAAGTTTTGTCCTTGTGCAACCTGAATTCTTGCCATGCAGCTACTAATTTCAGAAAGCAAAACAAAGCCTAACCTGCTTTGAGGACACAATAAGAAGCCATTTGCTTCCCTGTATCAACATCCATCATATTTTTATCTGTACTGCAAGCATGACAAGTTCACACAAGAAAGGATTACTTTCACAACTTTCAAACATTGAAGCACATAAGTAATGAATCATCCCATAAGATATTTGGCATCCACCTACCAACTTTCTAGTCTAAGACATAACTGAGTACTTTTGAAACTCACTCTCAATATTTGAACACAAGTTTCCAAAACAACATAGTGTCAATCTCATTTACACATATAGCTAGGGGGTAACTGTAGTTGGGATGAAAAGTGTGAGAGGATACCTTTTTAGTCAAATGTGTAGACCAGGGATACATTATTGATATGCTCTCATAAATTGTGCAGTCTTCAGTAGCAATGTTAGAAGCTTTTCAAAGTACACAAAACTATTAGATCAGGAAAACCACCTGTTTCATACTCTCTCTTTGCCTTCTCACCTACTCCCAAATGATGCAATCCCATCTCTGTGTTAGTAATATATTTTAGCTGAACTGAAGAACCATTCACAATACTCAGGATACTAAGAGTAAGAAAGCAATTTCAACTATGGGCTGATATCTGAATTAGTAGCCATCAAATTCACCTGGCATTGAGATATTAAATATTCTCCCAGTAGTGTGAAATGCTTTGCTATGAATCAGTAACTTCAACTGTTGTGAAAAGACAATGTGCTTCATAATTATATAGCAATGTGATAATGGAATGTAACCTAAATCATGAATATGCAGATATAGAAGAAGAGTATTGTTAGACCTTTTCTAGTCTAAATTATCAATGCTATAACTAATTCTTGGAGTGTTACTATTAACACATTATTCCAGTGTTTCACTGTAAAGTATTTTAATGAGCAATACATTTCACAGCAACAACTGTATGGATACTAGATCGCCTAGAAAGTAGAAACCCTTTGGTGAGAAATTCTTTTAAATCAGAAATTATGACATGAGTGATCTTCCAAAGGAGCAAAACTTTAGGGAAAAAGAGAAAAATAATAGCTGAAAACAATCCACTTTTGCCTTTTACCTCTTTTCTTCTTTTGCTCTCAGTTGTTCTTCCTGTCTCAGAACCTGAACCATTACGGATTCAAACACGCCTGTGGTCAAGCCTGCTAAACTGCGTGGTGTAGAACGACGCCTTGTTGAAGTACAAGCTGTTCCCTTCTCATCTTCCAGCCCATAGAACCCTTTAGATGTTACTGCTATTGCTGTCTTCTCTCTCAAATGCCTTGAAAGAAAAACCAAATCAATGCACAATCATATTTTTCCTGACCAGCAGTAATCCAACAGCTACATTTTAAAAGAAATTCACAAGGCTACTCTTCAAGTTGTATTGTTGTATGTATTTTTCATTCATAGCACAATGTGGTCATCACTTTAAAAAAATGTCTAGGTTTATGCTGTTATTTGATATGCAAAATCAGATTTTTTCATTATAATTGAGCAATATTCTTTTAAAGAGGTAACTCAAATTTATAATGCCATTTTCAATTATATCTTCTTGACATTTATAAAATAAGTGGATTTTTAAAAAAGACAAAAATATCAATCTGAAACAAGAAATATTGTTTATTATCAAAATCCTGTTGAAACAGACCTTAAAATTGCAATCACATGCATGTGCATTTATAAGTAATTTCCACTATATTTAAGAGGACTTTGTCCAAAAGAATGCATGTAGGATGTGCCTTAAGTATTACTGCATTTACAATATTTAATCCGTATTAACAGTAATAACTTCCAGACAAGGATTAGTATTTTTATTGACACTCTGTAATGGACAACGTCCACTGAAAATATTAAACAAGATAGCATTAGAAAAAAGTTACTGCCTGCTTCCTGCTTCAGTGGCTTTTGCAGCACAAACATTTATAATAGATATTCATTTGTATTTTGATCCAACAGTACATCAATTTGTAAATTAGATGAATTTAGATGATTTTTTAAAAGTTACATATCATTTCATTTTACTTAATTGCATTAGATCATTGGTATATCTAACCATTATTACAATCTATATCTTCAAATTCTGATTTAGAGGCGAACTGTCATTTACTATAGTTGTGGCTTGTTTCGGTAATTGCTATATCACGGTAAACATTTTTATGCAAACTAGAAAATAAGGTAAGGAATCAGAGTGTGAGAGGAGAGAATGTCCAAGTTAATTCATAATGGCCAACCATGCTCTGACCTTGATGACGAAACCAAGCCTTATTTATTTATTTGCTTCATTTTTATACCGCATTTTTCAGCCCATGACAGGCGACTCAATGCGGTTTACAGTGCAACTAAAACACAACAATACAACAACAGGATCGACGACGTCGATCCACAACAATTAACAATCAGACAGAACAAATCAACAAACAACATATATAACGCCTCAGTTGAAATCAGATCCGTTCTCATAGTCGTTGTGCCGTTCCTATGTTCCATTTACCGTCTTCCTTAATTAGTTGCATTGCTTAGCCAAACGCTTGTTCGTAAAGCCAGGTCTTGACCATTCTCCGAAACGCGTTGACTTACAACACTTTTTAAAAAATTAAAACCACCTTAATGATGGTTCTTTAATCTGTAATAGTCAATCTTTCACAACTCATAAGCAAACTACTATTCCTATTTTAGTTATCAGAATGTTTGAATTAATTTTAACACTGAACAAGAATGATTTCAATCATCAATAGATGGGTGTTATGGATTAGTGGAATGACTGCCTATTGCATAGTGTTAAGACACAAAACTGCTCTTCTGTATTTTCTGTAAAATCAAGTAACACCTTGAGCTGTTCCCTTAAAGCAGGAAAAGACAACTTGTGACAGTTCATTCCATGTAATCAATGATGAGGAAAAATAAGAGTTTCACTCAAAAAATTCTGGAAGGCCACTCCCACCTATAAGGAAATGTATTGATAACTTTTCTCATTTCATTAGGAGATAGTAGGTTTGGAGAGAGGAATGTTTTTCTCCATTTAGCTAGAACCATAATGTGGATTGCTTTCTGCTATCGTGCATCTGACGGATGCACAGAATCATGAAGAGTATGAATTTTATATATATTACTTTTACATTTTAAAACTCCTTTTGAATCCATTCTAAGTTTATAGCTCATTAAATCTTCAGACTGATCATGGGACCATTCAGTGGCAAAAAGACAAAGTCAAGAAAACAACACATTCTCAAAGTGCCTATATTTCTTGAAATGTATGGTTGTTTTGGAAAAGTTGGCGCTTATTCTGCCATGGTTAGACGAAGGGGAGGTTTGTGCACTCTGAAATCAGTCATACACAGACCTTTTAGCAGTATACCTCTGACAAAGCAGTTTCATACTTTGCTTAAAAACACTGGTCACAATAAATACAGGGACTTTGGGAATTGTTTTTTGTTTTTGACTGTTAGCTATCAGGAGTTTAGTCACATTACTTCCAATTATACCTATTAAAATGCATACGACTCCTTCTTTAATGAAGAACCGTTTGATCTGGGCAATCAAAATGCTTCCACGTTTTGCCACCTTGAAGTCCTATCAGACATCACTGTTATTTTTCTCACATAACTGCTTGTTTTCATTTTTAAAAATAAAAAGAAGAACCTTTTTTCTCCACAATTGCTCTCATACTGTTTATCATGCAACAGCCAAAAGTTTCACAAAGCTTTTACTGTACAAATAAATGACCTGTTTGAAGACATAGGAAACATTTTCCTTCTATGAATACAGTCTCCTTTCCTTTTCCATTGCTTTTTCCTCCTTTTAATAAGGAAATCGACTACATACATACAATTTTGGGGTTTAGCCTCTTGTGTCCACTAACTGCTACTTTTTCTTTGTGAGCATCATTACCCTATTCACATCCCTCAAAAATTATGTTTGTCTTCATTATAATTAAGCACTTACTGTTTGATAATTTTTGTTGTTGTTGCTATCAAGCTGGATTCAACTTGTGACATTTCTATGAGCAAGAGATCTCCAGGAGCTCTGGTAATCTTGCAAACCTAGGGCAATGATTTCCTTTATTTAATCAATCCTTCTGTATCATGGTTTCAGCACTACCTTTCTATCATAGTGAGACCTTGTGTTTCCCATGATGTAAGAATTCAATCTGATAGTATAGTGTTACTAAATTACTACTTACATACGTCAATAACAGCCTTGAAAGAACCTTATATGAAAATTTCTAATTTCCTTGCCCGTGTGTACTAACAGTACATTATTGTGTGGGCAAGAACTACTGTCAGGAGACAGCTCATTTTCTAGGCTGGTAGACAAGGAATCACTACGGTATTCCAGGATGTTAAACATATGCTTGTGTTTATGATTGGCTTTGACTATGGTCAATGGAAAAAGGCACACTTTTAACTTCCCAAACTTCATAAAGTTGGAAGAAAATCATTATAGGAAGGGCAAGAATATAGTGCAGATATCATACTGCATAATAATATGATAATGCATGTGTTACTTATGAACTATTTCTATATGAGAAACGTAAGAGTTAAGGAAAGCTTCAGTTGGATGCAGAACTGTATTCAGCCAGCAGTCTCTATTAAGCTAACAGACACAGCTGAAGACAAGCCAGTTACATTTCTTATCCAGTAATTTAATTTATGATTGTAAGCTTATCAAGTACTTTATTCTCTAATCTCCCTTTTGATATATTCCATTTAATTTCTTTTTGCACTTTATACACTTTAGAAACTTTCCTACAAATCTATCAGAATAAACTTCTCTGCTAGACAGAAAAACTGTAATTTGCATTATTTTTCAATATTGACAGAGATACAGAATTAGTGCCAAAATATGACTCACACCCACACACACATACTATTATAGTTATGCCAAGATGTCATCATAAATTTTGATAACACATCTATGCAATCATGAAAATAAGCTAACGTAACTTTCTTTCTGACATATACATCAATACTGTTGTGAAATTTGGGAGCAAAGAGAACATTTTCTTCTCTCCATCTGCAACATTCTCTCTCAATCCCGAGTTTTTAAACACAAACAGTAAAAGACTCACTTAACCATCCCCTTATTGTAATCAAAGCAAAAGTTCAGCTGCCCATCAGTATTTCCAACCATACTAAGACGAAGACAAAAAGGTGGACTGCCATGTATCTAGTTGGCTTGCCAAGAAAGTAATCCAGTCAAACAATTAATGGCATGAATCCTATTGTCAGCCCCAAGTAGAACAGAACCTATTACGTCACTGGGATTAGCATAAGTGTTAGATCACCATTTAACAATTGATACAATGGGTACACTCTAGTTGGGACTGCTCATTGGATTTAAACCGATAGTTTTGTTATCAGTACATTCAAGATCTCAACAAAAATTATGGACTGTATTAGAATTATGTGAAAGAAATCTGGGCGAGCTAAACGATCCTAAATATGCACACAATATTTTTCCAAGCCCAAGAATTTAATGTAACTGAAGGCCAATGAGCACTCCTAACAACTCAATCATAGCTCAACAAGTTACACACAAAACATGTTTTCTTATAAAAACAATAGCCCCTTTCCCAGATCTATTAGCATAGGACCTGGATAGAAAAGCCCCGATTTTGTCTGTTTTTTAGAGTCTTTATATAGAATCCTGATATCATGAAATTCTCTCTTTCATGATGGTACAATAGCAAGTGTTTTGACAACTCTGAAATCATTTTTACTCACACTGTTCTTTGGTATTACATACAGGAACGTTTACATATTTACAAACCATAAATAGCAGGACCTTTCATTGAAGTATTTTCCGGGAAGTGCCTGCTTAGATGGCATTATGAGTGATTTTGCTGGCTAAGGATTTTGGGAGTCCTAATTCCTTTCAAGTTGTGCTGTCTGTTTTTGCATCTGTAACCTTCTCTATGCATTGATTTTTACATCAGAACTACAAAAAGGCTGACCTACATTTCACTTCAGAAAAAATTGTCAGCTTTCTCCTTAGCATTTGTTTGGGGGCTTACAAAAGAAATCTTGCCTCAGAGTTTCTCTTGAGTGTTTATACAATATGTTTTAACTACCTCAGCTTTTAATTCCAATGTTAGCTGTTAAATAATTTGCGATCTTTCTTTAATGTTACTGCCATTTTGCTATTTATCGCCTCAGCTTCTTCTCTATGAAACATTAAATAAGTTCAGCTGACTTCTAATATAAAAGTTTGCATTTCTCAAGATGCATTGAACAATAAATTTTAATTGGTCTTCCCACTACCAACAATATGGCAAGGGTG